AGTGGTGTGAAAAAGTATTTGCCCTCCTCCCCCCGTCTTATTTTTCACACTTTAATGTTTCAGATCATCAAACTAAAATATTAAAGATGACACAAGTAAACACATTCAGTTTTGAAATGAATGGTTTTTTTTTGTTATAAGGGTAAAACAAAATCCAAAACAACATAGCTTTGTGTTGAAAAAGTTAATTTTCATATTTCACTGTCATAAGTTCTGTATACTCTGGTATACTTGTTTGCTGTATTTATTCAGTCTGATGCTTTAACTGAAAGTGATGTAAATAAGGGAAAACAGGGAAGCAGAGACTAAAACCTGCCCTTAACTAATTGTTTAAATTGGTTTGACAGTGAAAACGCAGCCTGATTTTTAGCTTTGCTACTTGAGCTCTGAGGCTATTGGTAAGTTGTAAGTCCAACCTGGCATAGCCCGACACCAAAAACTTTGTAATTGTAATATATATATATATATACAGTAAGACAAGAACTTACCGCCACATAGTCGTGTTTTGTTTTTGTGCCATATTAATCCATGACAGATTGAATCCTGACAATGTAGGACAAAAACACAATGAGCAAGATATAATTTACTCATCATCAGAAAATATATAGAATAGTATACATTTTATATTAGGGCTGGGCGATTTGGCCTAAAATCAAAATATTGATTAATTAAACATTTTACCCCTGTTACGATTAATGAGCTATTATTTTATTTGTTTATTTTTTTGCCCTCACAGTTCATTGACAGGTTTTGTACAGTAAATCTGCTCATATTACAAGTGAGAGATTTTTGAACGAAGGGTGCATTACTTGATTTTAAAATAATTGAAGGAAACACACACTATTTACTATTTATGATTATTTACTGAACATCAACGCTGAGCAACTGAAAAACACACTTTGCCTAAAACCAACAGTCACTTTTTTTATTATATTAAAGTGAAAACAAATAACTTGCACTTTTGGAAACATAAATAATTATTTTCAATATTTTCAAAAGTAGAAAATAAAAATAAGTAAAATAACTCTTGTATTGTATATCTTGTAAATAATATTTTAAACAGTGCATTTTTTGAATCTGTAAAAAAATATTTAAATGTAAATGATAATTTTATTGTAGTAAAAAATTTGCCATCTCAAGGCATCTCTGGCGCAGCTTCCAATCATTGTCAATGTTATGCAAACGTGTGACGTGTAGTTACATTTTTCGAGAGGTTTGCGGGTATGCAACTGCGCGAAGGCTGCGCCGGAACATGCCCGTACGTTCGACACAGAAGTATAAATCAGTGATCAGTAATAGGATTGACCTGGAAAAATGAAAGATGTTGATTTAGATTACTTTTAGATGAATCACCCAACTCTATTTTATATACAAACTTTCAATCTTAATATCGCACATTGTGAAGTTTTCTTAATTAAAATGATAGTTCACCAAAACGCTGAAATTTGGACATTATTTACTCACTCTTGACTTATCTAAAGAAAAACAAGCTTCTTTCTAACATTGAAGACTAAAGTAGACATCTTGAGGAATCTTGAACATTTTGAACATTCTCCAAAATATCATTTTGTATCCAACAGAAAAAAGAAACAAAGTTAGTTGTTAGCGCTTAAGATTGAGTAGATGGTTGTTAAATTTTCACATTACATGCTCCAGTCTACAGTCCCTATCATACATCTAGCGCAATAATGCGCAAGAGGTGTTTGGCACGATTTGATGCTATTTTCAGATCAGAGCAACCCTAGTTTTCACGTTTTGCGCCACGTTGTTTAAATAGCAAATTTGAGCCATTTGAGCCACTGCCATTGATGGCATGTTGCTATTCTGGGAAACTGAAACTGACTGTGTCGTTGACCAAGTAAAAGCTGGTCTAAAGTCCAGCGCAGAGCACATTAGTTATGTGCCTATGCAAGATCAAACGCTTAAAACACACAGGATGTACAGCAATGCACAAATATCTTTACATATGAAAAAAAATAAAGGATTAAAATATTATAAAAATTATTATTTACTACATCAATAAAAAAACCACCACCTCCATGCCTTCTTCATGTGTGGGAGCTTTTTTCAGTTTATTCATGACAATTTGAATTTGTATAATATTATTATTAACAATATTAATTATTTCTTGCATATTTCCATTTGTTTTAATAAAAACAAGTTTAGATTTGTCCACCTGTCATGTTTTGGAGACGCTTGCATCACCATATGGGGCATAAGAATAGGACGTGTGTTTGGATATAACTCAGTTTTTTGACCACACTTCATTATTATTGTTTATTTATTAATTTGCTGGAAATTAGAACTGAATTTAAAAATAGTTTTGTAACAAATCTTTGCACTTAAACAAAATTAACTATGTAGGCTAAGGGGCCGATCACACTGAATGTGCTTTTTTGCGCTGAGAGGCGCCTTTTTTGAATGATTTACTAACAGCAGCAAGCATTTTGCATGCTGCTCATGCAATCTTGCGTGCATCGGGTTTTGACCCTTGCGCTGTGCGCTGGCAGTTGAAAAAAGTCAACTCTAAGTGGAAAAAAGCATGATACGTCACTTGCGTGTTTTTCATTCTCCACTCAAATGAAAGTAGAGGTGGGGTTTCCGCTGAGGTGCCTGCAGTGTTTGTGTTGTCAAGACGACTATGGAGACTTTTGAAGATGGAGGAGATACTTGTGGTTGCTGTTTTGAGTTATCCAGAGCTGTATGACTTTTCAAATCTTGAATTTCACAATATTATTAAATAATAAAGTTATATTTATATCAACAGCAACACCCTCATAGAATACCAGCTGATTCAAATGTTGCCTCGAAACGTAAAAAATCCTACCACGCTTATTTTTTTTTTTGTCAACAAAAAATGCAGTGTGGTGCGCCTCGTGTTTTTGGAACATAAATGCGCATTTAGGGTGATCGGCCCCTAAATGATGTATTCAGTGAAGTGCGTACAACACCGATTCCTTATCAACGAAAGTAAAGGAGTAAAGAGTATAAGTAAAGTAAAGAGAAAGTAAAGAAACTGAATGGAGCAGGTTCATTGTTTATCCTTGTTTTCTCGCCAGTGAAGCGTGCAGTTTTTCCACTTACAAAGTCCGCCATGTAAATAGCAAATGTGCCATGGCTCGACGCAACTGACTCTTAAAGAGAATGGGAGATGAAACTCTGATTGGTTTACGTTATGCTCAAAACACACCCATAACTCATTAAGAGAATAAGCAACCCTCTGAGACCATGTGCCAGTGTGCAAAGCATATTTTTCCATCTTTCAAATAGCAAAAGTGGATTCAGACACACCCTTAGGGCTCTATTTTGACGGTCCATGCGCAAAGCGCAAAACGCAGGGGGCAAATGCTTTCAGGGCGTGTCAGGACGCGTTTTTGCTAATTTAAGGACGGGAAATCTGCCTTGCGCTTCGGCGCATGGTCTAAAAGGGTTGAGTTTATTTTCTTAATGAGTTATAGGCGTGTTTTAAGAATAAACCAATTAGAGACTCATCTCCCATTCCCTTTAAGAGTCAGCTGCATCGTGCCAAGAGCGCATTCGCTATTTACAGGACGCAAAGTAAGTCTAAGTGGAAAGAAATGAGCATTTCACAAGCAAAGAGTTAACAGTTAACAGTTTTTTTTTAACAGAAAACTGTTAAACAGAGCATCTACTGAGTGAGAATGAGAGATAATGGATCACTTTCACTTTCGCTCTTGGATAGGGAAACCTTTACGCACAGACATCAATTAGTCTATAAATAAATACTTTTGTTTGTTAAGCGCAAATATTCGTTTCAAAACTATTTCTAAATTCAGTTCTAATTTCCAGCAAACGAATAAATGAATAATAATAGCAAAATGTGCTCAAAAACCTGAGTTATATCCTAAAACACATGCTGCGCCCCATATGGTCTAAAACCTGACAGGTGGGCAAATCTAAGCTTGTTTTTAATAAAACAAATATAAATATGGATATAATAAATAATACTGCTAATAATAATAACATTATACAAAAGCAAATTGTTATGAATGAACTGAAAAAGCCTCCCGAGATGAAGAAGACATAAAAGCAGTGGTTTTTCATATTTATGTAGGCTAGAAAATAATATGTTTTGTTATATTTTAATCCTTTATATTTATATCCTATATCTATTCTTATTATATACTATATATATCCTTAATATTTAAATTTTTTCATATGTAAAGATATTTTGCCTATTGCTCTCTTGTGCGTATTAAGCAGTGCGTAAGCGAGGCGCAACTCTGCGCTGGAGTTTAGACCGGGTTAGTTTTGGTCTAATGAAAAATCTATTATAGATTCTCAAAATAGCGATGCGCCAGCGGTCCGCCTCAGAATGCCTTCCTTTTTAGACCAGAACGCCTATGGGCGCAAAAATGAACGCTAATGCATTTGCTATTTAAACAGAGTAGCGCAACGCCTCAAAACGACTCTTGCGCCAAGCTTAAACTACCAAAAGACTACTGCGTCACGCCTTGCGCCACACTGCGCCGGGTGTATGATAGGGCCCCTAATGCTTTTGCGCCATGCCCTTTAGACTTTGTGCCTAGACCATTCAAATAGAGCCCTACATTTTTGCAAAACCACAAAGACATACTTAAACATGTTTGATTGCAGTTTTTGGTAAGAACACCATGGGGAAATATGACACCAACAACTTTTGCTTCTTTTTACACTAATGATATTTACCGAAACTTATAATCGACGAATAAAAGAATATTTTGTGCAGTTCTTTGCACAACACCAAACAAATACCACAAAACACTGACGTGATTTAATCTGTATAAAGATCTCTCTTCTTGTAGATGTGTACAATAAGGACGTGTATCTGAAACACAATAAAAAGTAGTCTAAGTAACATATTTCAGATTTACAAAAATTTATATAGCGCCTTCTAGTGGATTTGTCATCTGAAATGTGCATTGAAACATATTTCTAATAAGCCTGGGCTGGAACTATGCTGTTAAATCTTAATAATTTGCATATCTTTCATACCTCTTACAGCATCTGCAGACAACAGTGCAGGCGCTGCAGGCCGAGCTGCGTATCCAGCGTGACTTGAACCAGCTTCTCCAGCCGCCCGGGGAGCCTCTGGCCTGCGAACCCAGTGAGGAGCAGGAACGTCAGGCTCGAGAGCTCTTCTTGCTCCGCCGTACGCTGGAGGAGATGGAGCTGCGCATGGAGGCCCAGCGGCAGACGCTCGTTGCTCGCGATGACTCTGTCAAAAAGCTCCTGGAGATGTTGCACAGCAAGGGCCCGTCAGCTAAAGCCAGTGAAGAAGATCATGAGCGAACACGACGCCTGGCAGATGCAGAGATGCATGCGCACCACCTGGAGAACCTGCTAGAACAGCGGGATAAAGAGCTGGTGGCTCTCAGAGAGGTGTGTGACAACTGGAGATGAAACATACATTACAAAATATTACATTTATATCATATACAAGTAACAGTGTTTATTTGGTCTAAATTTAGCTTTGAAAAATATTGAACTCTTTAGCTTGAAATCCAAAATCCCTCTGTTATTTTTATATTTTTAGATGTTTTTCTTAGACTGTTCCTTAATTTTTGATATACATGTCAAAACAGAATATTAAAAGTCTGATTTATTTTGAGTTTTAGAAATCAACTATTTGACATACTTTTTGACAAAGTGAAGTTTATTCATAAACTAATTTCGAGAGGATCACGTGCTTATGATTGACACGGCTGGCCCAGAGTCAAGCTAATGTACGAACCACCAATCAGACTATTCCTAACCCAGTATAAATAACCAAATATCTTACCTTTAGTCATCTTTGTCTTGAAGAATCCCCCCTTCCACCCCTTCTCCTCCTCTTTTCAACAGGGCAGCACGACGGCCCAGTGGCTAGCACTGCGGCCTCACAGCAAAAAATGCCTCTGGCTCGGGTATCCACCCAACCGGACAGCATTTTTGTGTGGAGTTCATGTTCTCCCCGTGCTTGCGGAGATCTACCCAAGCTCAAACTCCCCTCTCGCCCTGCAACGGGAGGGAGCTCCGGGCTCGAGGATCTTATGAGCTCAGGGCTCTCTCCCGGGACAGCATGCCAAACTAGCTTATTACCAATCATTAGCTAAGTGTGAACTCTTAAAATGCAGTTTAGATGCTATTATAACAGAAACTAAATCAAACTATTGCCCAATTCATATACTATCCATCCTAAATAGTATTTGAAAATAGAATTAGTGTGTCCCAAACTATAGTTTGTTGAAAAGAGTATGCTAAATGTTTCCGGATATTTTGCTATTTCCAGTAAAAATTCAAAGTGCAGAACAGTCCGTACTCGAACTGCTAATACATAATGCTAATACTAACGAAAATACATTGCGCGTTGGATGTGAATTTGATTAGAACTACAAAGTATGGAAAAACGTGTAAATAAACTACAAACACGGCGGACACACGAGATCAAAGTCAAGTCAAGAGGCTTCGGTAAATTTGTTTAAATGACTATTAATTAATATCTAACTAACCGGAAAATATTTAAATCACATTTTCTGCGGGCGACGCAAAGCACGTTCGCCTCACAGCAAGAAGGTCGCTGGGTCGCTGATTCGATCCTCGGCTCAGTTGGCGTTTCTGTGTGGAGTTTGCATGTTCTCCCTGCGTTCGCGTGGGTTTCCTCCGGGTGCTCCGGTTTCCCCCACAGTCTAAAAACATGCGGTACAGGTGAATTGGGTAGGCTTAATTGTCCGTAGTGTATGAGTGTGTGTGTGTGTATGTGTGGATGTTTCCCAGAGATGGGTTGCGGCTGGAAGGGCATCCGCTGCGTAAAAACTTGCTGGATAAGTTGGCGGTTCATTCCGCCATGGCGACCCCAGATTAATAAAGGGACTAAGCCGACAAGAAAATGAATGAATGAATGAACATTTTCCGTGTTATATTTCAACTGCAAGAACTATATGAACTTGTTTAATGACTTATTTGGAAGATGACTTGTAAAAGCTTATTTATCCAAAGACCTGATGAGATTTCTATGCATGAAAGTATCACAAATGACAGATTAATCTGCTGCTGCTGAATCCCCAATATAGTAGGTAAATAAATATGACAGAAATGTGGATGATGTGTCGAGATGTTTGACAGGAGACATAACTAAGCAACATAACAATAGCGAGGAAGTAGTATTATATTATTATATGCATGTCCTACACAAAAGAGTACATACTTTTAGGGGGTAGTATAAGTATGAAAAATGGGACACTGCATATGTAAATTACTTGTAATTATTTTATGTAAATTTATGAAACTAAATAAAGAGAGCACGAATATCTGGTTTTGGCAGGAGCACTTTTAGCTTAGCGTAGCATAGATTATTGAATCAGAGTAGACCATTAGCATCTCGCACAAACTTAAAAAAAAAAAATAATTTTATGTATTTGGTCTTAGAGGACGATGTAAATACAGAAATGTCAAGCTTTAAATAGAAAAATGATCTAAACTTTGAACAAGATGCTAATGGTCTAATCTGATTGAGTTATTTTTGCTAAACTAAGCTAAAAGATTACTCATCAGACCCGGTGATTGGCTGAATAGTTTAAAAAATGATTGAATTAAAACTCAACTGTTTAACTTGTAAAATGAGCCTATTTGCACAAAAGTGAGGCGTTCCTTTACATATAAGAAAAAACAATAGAAAGAAATGTCTAATTCTCATTTAGTTTAATCTGATGTGCTAAAACAATTGAAAACTGTTTAAAGGTGGTAATAATTTGGCAAAGATTTAGTTACTCATTACTCTCTAGTGTCTAATGTAGTTTTTAAATGTTCTGATTACATTTTTATTTGAGAAACTAGCTTTTTAAATTTACATATATATTTATATAAAATACAATCTAATAAATGAGAATCTAAAGTGTATTTTGGAATAATATAGTTTAGATTGAATAACATGGTTGACAAACCTCATACAAAATGGATGACAAATAAAGCCACTCATACAATATTAACTACATGCTTCTGAAGATGACGACCAGGTTTTCTGAAGGTTAAGCACCTCCTTTCTCAGGAAAAGTACAAATAAATGAAATATTAAATATCTAAAATATCTGTAGTGAATGAACAACATCACAACATCCTGTCACACAATAAAGGCATCTGCTCTCTTTAAAGCGTAAAAATTAGGATTTGTAATCGAACTAGATAGCAGAACACATTTGCACTCGAAAGCAGCTTCTGCAGTGTGATAGACACAGGCAAAAGCAAAAAAACAAACAGACAAAAAAACGCTGCCCTCCCTTAAGGTATGATGGCGTATCTGAGAGCTCTATTTCTGGTACTGGTGTGAAGGAAGTGGCAAACATGTGTGTTAAATTGCAGGAGCTGCACCGCCGCCTCGAGGGGACGCCAGAGACCACCAAAACAAAAGCTCTTCAGACTGTCATTGAGATGAAGGTAATACTTTAGCCCCTGTTTTAATACTGTTTATGTATACTGTTTGCTTATGTTTTGTCTGGCAGGGAGGGAAAATAACGTTCTGTCTTCACTGATCAAAATAAACTACAGTCCCATGAAACATTGTGAACGATCCAATCAAATCAAAAAGATTCATGGGAGTGGGCGGAGCTAAAGATCTAATTTGGCACAATTTTCTTTATATGACTTCAATTGGTTTATTTTTCATCAAAAGTATATATAATTGATTAGCATTGTAAAAGCAATGGGTGAGTTTTTCGAGGTTTATCTGTTTCCCTTTGAAGAAAATCAATGAAGTTTTGTTTATGCAACTCGACTGTCGCTCTCTGTTTAGGCTATTAAAGGGATAGTTCACCCAAAAATGAAAATTCACTGACCATTCACTCACACTCAAGCAGTTCTACATTTTTAGTAAGGAAATGTGCACACAGAATGCGATTTTTTCTTTCCAATGCGCTACTTTTCTATTGTTTTCTAATGTAAACATGCGTGTTTGACTGTTACATTAACATCATTCGCGCCACACACAATCTTTAACTTTCACACGCAGCACAGCTCATCACAGTCAGCTCTAAAAGCAGAAGAGCTGACCATTCAGAAGAGCTTTGAGGTGGGGCAAGCTTCTGTTTATAGTAGAAAGTTGCCATGACCACTGTTTTTTTTTTTTTTTACTGTTATAGACCTTTTTCTTCGTTGTTGCATGGAGGGCGCCATAGTGACCAGCGCCTTCCGGTAGGGTGCTCAGAACTTTCGTTAAGAATTGTCATCAGCCAGAGCAGCATTTCTCAACTTGGTGTCAAAACTGTTTTAAGTGTTTTTGTGATGCAAAACTAATTTTGAAAGAAAGACGTGGGTTAAAACAGTTATACTTCTGTCAGATGCGCTTCAAGTATAAGAGAAAAATGCTCTCCTAATTCAGTGTCTGCCATCAGATCAGATGCTAAAATACAGCTTCACTGTTCCCGACCTGTCAGCAGTTATACTATACTCTGTGGCTCTTCAATACACACACACACACACGCATGCACACACACGCACATACAATACCTAATTGCATTATAAAGAACAAACCATAATACTGGCATTAAACTTAAGTCTGTAACTAATACTCTAATGGCAAATTTGCATGTCAATTTTAATCGGGAGCCGTTTATGTTACTTTTAGTTAGTTTTGTGTAGCATTTACCATGGTTTGTGTTTTTCTGTCATTTCAAAATGCCACTTTATTTTCACTTTGTGACACTTATTCAATCATTGTGGTAGTGGGACAGTAGGCTACGTGTGTGTGTCAAACATTTTAGTGAAGTATACTTGTTTGGGTTGGTTATATGTTTGAAAGAAAGAGAAAATGATCACATTAGCAATGACGAGACTCTATTTAAATGGCACAAGATGCCGTCTGACGATGAGGGAAAAATGCCTCACAGCAGTTGTTTTCCATCCCATTAGTTCGCATATTTTAAATAATCAGTCCAGGAGGTGGTTCTGATCGACAGTTCAAAGACGTTAAAAGCACATAAGATAGATTAAAGCCCTATCCCAATTCTATTTTTGTACCCCTTCCCCTTACCCCTGGCCCTTAAAACTAAGTGTGAAGGGGAAGGGTTTCAAAATTTACCCCCCAAAAAAATGGGACAGCACTACAACACCTGCACACGTCATCATATCTCTTGCTTCATATGAGTTTGACGATCGCGACTGCTGTAGTTATTCCAGTTACATTTTTTTTTGGTATTTATCTTAAGGAAATAACTGAAGGCAACAATATTATGTTATCATAACGATATAATGTGACAATAAGATCGTAACTTTAGTGCGCATTTACACAGTGGCGATATTATTTTGTGTAAACACACCAAAAACAACATTAACATTGTAGTAGACAATGTAAAAAAAGCCCATTCGCAGCTACTAGACTGTTTTTGACAGGGTATTCAAGTGTCATCGAGTGTCAGAATGTTGTGGGACTGCTGTACAGGAGTTATTATTATGGATTATAGATAGCGAAATTTAGTGTTTTTCATTTTAGCGTTTTTTTAAGCAAGACAGTAAAACACGAACGTGGTTATGAATATATTTGGTTTTGAGTATGGTCCTGAAAAATATCTGTTCGAAGGGCTTATCTACCTTTTCCTCTTAGCCCTACGCCTTCAAGCTGAAGAGAATTGGGAAGGGCTAAGGAGTAGAATTGGGATTGGGCCTAAAACTATCATTTCAAAGCTGTCTGAATTTGAAAGTTCTTAGCATCCTCCTTGCGCATACACGCAAAGCCTTATGGGTAATTTTGCGTTCTAAGAAAAAGATCTACAGTATACCATGGCAGAGGAGGCGCTCATTGTGGCTTTGTCCAAATTATCCTTGGTTGTATGTTGTATCTTCATGTGCTTATCATAACATTCATTTATTTTTTTATTGGCTTAGTCCTTTTATTAATCAGGGGTCGCCACAGTGGAATGAACCGCCAACTTATCCAGCAAATGTTTTATGCAGTGAATGCCCTTGCAGCTGCAACCCATCCCTGGGAAACACCCATACACTCTCTTTCACAAACATACACTACAGACAATTTAGCTTTCCCATTTCCCCTGTAGCGCATGTCTATGGACTTGTGGGGGAAACCCAGAGGAAACCCACGTGGACACAGGGAGAACATACAGAAATGCCAACTGACCCAGCTGAGGCTCGAACCAGTGACCTTCTTGCTGTGAAGTGACATTGCTACCCACTGTGCCACCGAGCCACCCCCTTATCATAACATATTGTTTTTCATTTCTAATAGGTCTGTCATTGTCGCCATGCATTTTAGAATTCTAAACGCAGATTTCTATTGGGGTATGCACACGGGACCCCAAATAGGCGGCTGTTTGCGGCACCCAGCTACGACTCTTCATATTTCTGTTGCACCACAGAGTGACATCTGAATAGTTTCATATTAAATAACATGTGAATGTGCGAGTCCGGTGTGCATTACTTTTTACTATCATATACGCGGCATGGTGGTTAGCCCATGGTAACATTTGATTTGGCCCGCCATCCCATCTGAAAAGAGAGGGGGAATGATGGGGAGGTGGTTGGGGCGAATGCCTTTGATGGAAATCAGCATTTCAAATTTAATGTAAACTTTAGGTTCTTTTTATATTGAGGAGCCACAACTACAATTAAATGTTTCAATTAAATGTTGTAAATAAATCAGACTTTTAAAACGTAAATATTGTCAGTTGACAGATGCACAAGGCATCGGCGAGCAAATCAAGGCAAAGGCAGGAGCAGCTCAACTGCTGTAATCAGCATTGAACTCCATTGTTCTATAAATGGGATTGTTTATGTTTTTACTGTATTATGTTCATTATAAAATGCCTAAAATGATACTGCTAAAAACTTTACTATGTTTTAAAGAAACATTTTTTTTAGTTATTTTTAAATATTAGCATATTACCCATGCCATAAATTTGTCATATTTCCCATGGCGAATTTAATGTCATACTGTTTCGTACATTAAGCTTTGGCCCACAGTCCTCAGTCCAGTTTGGTTTTTGGTGCTTTATAAGAAAAAGTTTGGGCACCCCTGATCTCAAGGCTGTTGGAAAAAAACAACAACTGTTGACATCCATAATACATTTAACTCAAAATGGAAATACAATTGCTGCTTTTCCCAACATTCTTCAGTATATCTTCATTTGTGAAGATCAAAAACCACTCAAAAAGGTTTGTGGAGGATGAGTAAATGATGATAGAATTTACATTTTGTATGAACTATCCTTTTAACGTTAATGCTTACTTTTTGAAGCGGTTTATTCCGCTGTGGCGACCCCTTATTAATCAGGGACGAAGCCGAAGGAAAATGAATGAATGCATGCTTAATTTTGATGATGAATGAAACCACATTTTTTGAGTGCATGTTTTAAGAATGGCCTGATTGTAATGTTTATAAGGGTTTATATCCACCAAAGAGTGTTTTCCCAAAGTGTCCGTCCAATGAAGTGAGCATATTTTTTTCAGCTGTTGTCAATGAATATGGCCTGTTTTTTCTACACCTGCAGTGTGGCAAAGCTCTGAACATCCGCTTTAGGCGTTTTTTTTTTTTTTTTTCTTTAAGAGTTTTGGAAGAGCGCTTGCTTCGGTGGACACATACCTTAATACTTAATTTCATAAAAAAGTCATTGTAGTATAAACTTATAATAATCAAATGAACTGACTTGAATAGTTCCCATTTGACTCAAACAAATAGGACTTGGTACATCTTTACATTTTCCGGATCATGTAATACGAACACACAAAAAAGTATATAATTTTGCCAATAGTTCTAGGAACTATGAAAAAGTTCCCCTGGCTCAAAAGTCCCTTAGATGGAAAAAATAAGGTCTTCCATCAATTTCCTAATTCTCTGGAAACAACTTTCATTGATCTGGGCTGGCCTGAGGTTAAATAAATAGCTACAAAATTTAAATTCCTACCAAGTTCCTATCATTGTGAAGCCAAATTGAGACACCGGTGTTGTTCATTATTGACATTAAAGCTGGCGTGACTCATTTTGACGTGTCTCTCAGGATTCTCAGATCGGTTCTCTGGAGCGGGGCCTTAGAGAGTTGGAGGACCAGGTGATGATGCTTCGCTCCAGCAGCATGTTGAGCTGTGAAGAGCGGCAGGAGGAAGCCAAGCAGATGGAAGTCTATCGCAACCACACCAAGTTCATGAAGAACAAGGTATTGCGCTCTCTGCTTTAAAATAACACATCAAGATTCTGCCATTTCCTCCTGGTTTAAACGTGTTTTTGGTGATCGGAACACAAATGGTCAGAAGAAACGCATTATTGTATGTCTCCCGTTGTTTGCTGAGAGATCACTTCTTTTTTTTTTTTTGAAGTTCATGTTTTATCTAATTTAAAAAGTTCAGCAAGGGAAACAATGATCCTCATAACTAAAAAAAAATGGATGTAGTCAGGAGTTTGTGTACTCTCCCTGTCCTGCCTCTTTACTTTATAATCTTTTGTTTATATTTTGTAAAATAATTTCAGCTTAGGAGTTGGTAGACAATTCTTTTTTCTGGATTAAACATCTTGGTGCGAAGACCAAACCTTTATGGTAGTTTGGACAAGTTTGGTTTTGGCCTTTAACAGTCTTTTTTTGACAAATGAAACATATCATATTGTCTAGTGCAGTGTTTCTCAACCCTGTTCCTGAAGGCACACCAACAGTACCCATTTTCAACCACCTCCTAATCAAACACACCTGAATCAACTCATCAGAACAATAGAAGAGACTCCAAAACCTGAAATTAATAGGCAGGAAAGGGAGTCACCCAAAATATGTACTGTTGGTGTGCCTCCAGGAACAGGGTTTGGAAACAATGGTTTAGTGTATAGAAAAATGATTATATAATTAAATCAAGTTGTTTATTGGAGAAAGATGCAACTGGATCTGTAGATTTCACAAATTAATTCACCAATTTAACAGGTTAACTGACAAGATTCAGCCTGGACACCGTTATCACATCTCAATTAACATTTTCTTCACTTCAAAATATATTTGTGATGTGTGGGAGAATAAAAAGTACAATATTTTGTTTTGGAACGTTATTAGGTAAAAGTTTCCTAAAATAAAAATACTCTGATGAGGACAGATTATAATGTGAGGAATAATTGACTTTGAGCCATTGTTTGATTATTAGTAAAGGTGTTGACGCAGCGATGGAGCAAAGTCAAGCCAGTGTGTATTAAGTTCTAATAATTCAAGATATTTGTCAATTTTTTATCCTTTACCTGCTCCTGTGCATTGTACTATGTTCTTAAACATCTCATCCAAAGCCTTCTTTTTTGTTTTGTTTTGATTTTTGACAGTTGTAGGCCACGAGTTTTCATGAGACTATTATGACATGTTTAATGGTCATCATAATCTTAAATCCTTAGAGGTTTTTAATATTTAGATTTTTTTTTTTAAAAAGTATGAACATTTATATGTATATGTATTACATAATCTTTGAATCAAATTACAAAAAACTAATTACTGCTTATGTGAGACGATGCAGAGTGTATGGGCAGGACAGTAAATTTGACGTTGTTCTCTCTTCTAGGTGCTGTTATCAGTCTCACACAATTATTTTCTTTTTTTCTAAAAGTCTTGATGACACCATCGTCGAGTTTTTCTTTTATTATTTCTGCAAATAATTGTCAAAAATATTTGTTGTACTTTCCCATTCACTGCTCTCTTGGTTTGAATGGGAAACCAAGAGAGCAGTTGTACTTTTTATTCTCCCACACATTTCTCCTGCTACTGAGAAACCCAGAAATATGAAAAGGGTCCATAGTCACATCGCATGATCTGCAATGTTGAGGTGGGATTATAATAACCAGCCACTATAGTTCAGAACATGTGATTTGTGGGGTAACAGCAAAATCTGAACCCTAACAGAGTTAAAGATTTTCATTTGGATGTGATTTTAAGGTCTGCGACTATGTAAGATTTCAAGCGAATTTAAAGCAAATAGTTATAGCTTTAACTTTAAATTTAAGCTTTAACAAGGATTAATTGTATTTAATTATTTATACAATGAAGACTATACAGGGCTATTTTACATATGATTATTTAACTTATTAAAGCAGAAGTGAAGTAAATGTATTATCTACTTGTAATGTGGTCAAAACCTACCTGGTACTTTAGCCCTGTGGTTCCTTAAAACAATCGGATACCTTAGAATGTTTTTCAGCCGACCAAAAAACAACCATTGAATACCCACAGTATAAATGTTCTTAAGTACCAGTAGTGAAGTAAAAATCCTGTCCCCAATACCTCATAAGAGTTTAAACTATGAAAGCAGCCCACACTAATGCCCTTTGACAACCTTAGGAAGTGACTGAAAGTAGACAAGCTCGTGACATTTGACAGTCATTCACATTTACAATTTAACGTCACCCATTTCGATCAGATTGACTTAAATGCATCTTAATATCAGGTGCAATTGTTTCACATACTGTAAATACAGTATAACAGTGTTTCTCAACTGGTGGGTCGCGATCCAAAAGTGGGTCACTGGAACATTTTCAGTGGGTTGCGACACTCCCAAGAGTGTGTGGTCAGAACAACAACAAAAAATGCGTGCACGAAAACCCTACCTTTTGACATGTGAAATTTCATTTAATTATAGCAAAAGATATGTCAAAGCGCAAATATGACCCTGAATATGTAAAGTATGGATTTACATATATTGACAGCAAAAAAGACTTAAAGCCTCAGTGTGTCTTAAGTAGCGAGGTGCTCTCACAAGAGAGCATGAAACCGTCTAAATTAAAACGACTTTTATCAAACAGAGTGTTTTATTACCAGTTTAATGGCAACTGAACCTATCCTTACCCTAACCACTGTTTAGACTTAGACTTAGACTTAGACTTAGAAAACTTTATTGATCCCGCAGGAAATTGCTTATGTAATGACTGCCATAACACACAAAACACAGAAACACAAAACCACAAGACAAAATAAATAAATTAAATAAGTGAAATAAGTCACATAAATCCAACCAATCTATAAAAGGAAACAGCCACAATACATAAGTATACAAACTATTATATAAGATATCACACTTAAAAGAATCAGTGGTAACTAATACTATTAAGTCATATATCAAGTAATGAAGATAATATTAACCAAAACCAATAATATTACACATAAAACAATTACACATAAAATATTTCAAGTAGTAAAGTGATTCAGCACTCATTTAAAAAACAATGATATTGCACTAAAAATATTTAAGACCCAGTAAAAAAATTTACAAATATTGCACCTAGTAGATCATTGCACATCATAAAACATAATGCACAGACTTCCACACACTAAAACCCGTAATAAGTAATATATGGCACGAGCAGCAAGGTATAGCATAGATTACTGTAAGGGTAAGTGACTGAGGGAGACGTTATGAAGTCTGATACCAGTGGGAAGGAAGGATTTTCTGTGGCGTTCAGTGGAACACTTTAAGCTGGTAAGTCTGTGACTAAAGGTACTTCTCAGCTCGTCAACCACATTATGAAGAGGATGATCTACATTGTGCATAATTGACTGAAGTCTAAAAGTATTTGTTATTTTTACTTTGTAATATTTCTATAATTTGATACATTTTGTTAAATGACAGCAATAAAATATTGTTTATTTGTAAGTCTTGGTGATTTTCTTATGATTTATCTGTCACTACTTGTGTATGTTAACAAATAAATACAAATTAAGTATAATTGCTAAAATTGTATTATAGTTCCTAAAAATTTAGGTCGCGGACTAAAGACCATGTAAAAATGTGGGTCCCATGGCCAAACCAGTTGAGAACCACTACAGTATAACAACGAACTTCTTCTGTTTTGTAGATGGACCAAGTTAAGCAAGACCTTTCCAGAAAAGACACCCAGCTTCTTGGCTTGCAGACCAAGTTGGAAACCCTGACTAACCAGTTTTCTGACAGCAAACAGCATATTGAAGTGCTCAAAGAGTCTCTAACTGCCAAAGAGCAACGGGCTGCTATTCTGCAGACAGAGGTAATAGATCTCACCGGTGGTTAGTCTTCGCCCATCGGACCATCAGATTCCCTGATCTCTGACATTGTTTTGCAGGTGGATGCTCTGAGGTTGCGTCTGGAGGAGAAGGAGACCACGTTAAACAAAAAGAGTAAGCAGATTCAAGAAATGTCTGAAGAAAAAAGCACACTCAATGGGGAAATACATGATCTGAAGGACATGCTGGATGTCAAGGAGCGTAAAGTCAACGTGCTCCAGAAAAAAGTGAGGACTGCTTTTTTTAAAAGTCTGTTTAAAAAGTTTTTCATCACCTTGTGATAAAGTCAGCTTGATCCAGAAGTTGTTGAGACATCAGTTTGTTGATGTACAAAAAACTGAATATTGAGTAGAGATGGGGCTTTCTTGTGCTTATAATTTTGTCATAGCAAACTAACGGTAACGGGCGTGGTTAAGAATATTATGAATGAAGCTGTCAAACTGACGTCAACAGAGAAGGACCTCCACTCCAAATGCAGGAGCAAATAGTCAGACTTTGATTCATTAGCTATGACAGATTAACATTTTGTGCTAGCAAAAAAAACATTGTTAATTTTGATTTCATCAATCATTCATCCATCTATCTATTATTTGCTGCTTATCCGGAGGTGGGTCACAGGGGCAAAAGTCTCAGGAGAGAACCCCAGACACATCCTCCAGTTCCTCTGGGGTGAATCTAAGGCGTCATGTGTCTTCCTCGGGGCTTCCTCTTGGTGGGACGTGTCCAGAACACCTCCCTAGGTAGGCATCCATGAAGCATCTGAAATAGATGCCAGAGGAACCTCAACTAGCTTCTCTCGATATGGAGGAGCAGTGGTTCTACTCTGTGATCCTTACGGGTGACAGAGCTCCTCAGGAGCTTACTCTAATCTATCTCAATCTTTAAGGGTACACCCTGCCACCCTGCAAAGAAAAGTCATTTCGGCCACTTGTATCCGAGATCTTGTCCTTTAAATCACGACCATCGGTGAGAGTGGAAACTTAGATTGACCAGTATATTGAAAGCTTTGCCTTTTGACTCAGCTCTTTCTTTACCACAACAGATCAGAGGTGATACTATCTCTACTCAGTACTGTTCAACATTCTGCACAAGCTCTGGGTCCTTCACTCACATTAAGGTGACATTCCATGTCCCAAAAGCCAACTTCTGTGTTATCGCGTCCAGAACTTTAACCACCAACTGTGCCAAAATGCCCCAGCCCCTTTTGGCTCCTCCTGGAGGATGTGCTTTCAGGAGGTGGGCTTTCAGGAGGATGGCCCCATGTCGGTTCTTCGGGCTGAGCCAAGCCAGGTTCTTTGGGAAAAAAACAGCCACCACAAATGCTTGCATATGAGCCTCAACTTCAGGCCTGGCTCCAGGGTAGGGCCCCGGCTGTGCCATACCAGGCGACGTCATGGTCCTTGATTTCATTTGACTCATAAATCAACCACACTTAGTCTGACCTTTCACCTAGAACATTTTCGCCTTGGAAAAAAGGAAGAAAATTGAGAAATTCTTTTTAAAAGAATTTTGACAAAACTGTGTGTCTGTATATATACATACAGCTATGGAAAAAAATTAAGAGACGACTGTATTGTAAATTCAGTTCCTATGAATTTGCAATACTTTTGGTATACGGATTGAGTGAAATGGAAACGGAGTTTGCATGTTCTCCCTGCCTTCGTGTGGGTTTCCTCCGGGTGCTCCGGTTTCCCCCACAGTCCAAAGACATGTGGTACAGGTGAATTGGGTAGACTAAATTGTCCGTAGTGTATGAGTGTGTGTGTGTGTGAATGTGTGTATGGATGTTTCCCAGAGATAGGTTGCCGCCGGAAGGGCATCCACTGCGTAAAAACTTGCTGGATAAGTTGCCGGTTCATTTCGCTGTGACGACCCCGGATTAATAAAGGGACTAAGCCGACAAGAAAATGAATGAATGAATGAATGAAATGAAAACAAAAATTCTGAAAAGGACTAACAACAACTATTACAAATTAAAAAAAATACAGAAATCTAGATAATTGTTTTCTTGGAAATTACAATTGTTTAATATAAATGTTTTTTAATTGTTGTGATTGAAAATTTGTAATGTTTAAACATGTAACATTCAAGTGTGGGTTAAATATTGAGGCATCAGTGGGGCAAAATAGGGTCAGATGCTTTGAGATAAGCTGTGACATTATAGCTTTTTTTGAGTAAGAGTAAATTCAAAATACTTTTAGACAATTAAAACGTCACTTTAATGTTACCAATCTCATTTTAACCGATGTGTTTCAGATTGAAAACTTGCAGGAGCAGCTGAGGGATAAAGAGAAACAGATGAGCAGTCTGAGAGAGAGGGTTAAATCCTTACAGACGGACACCTCTAATACAGACACTGCCCTGACCACACTGGAGGACTCACTGGCTGAGAAGGTGAGGAGCTCCTCTAGAGGACGCTCTAACACAGTGCTTCCCAACCTGGGGCTCACCAATGATTTATGACAGGGGGTCACTAAATTCACTGTAGTTTGTGGGTTAAAAGTAAAGAAGTGTAAACTAAGTTCTGAGGGAAATGATATGAATGAATTCAGACCATAGACTTGTTCATATCAATGCATAGTTTGACTAAATATTAAACCAAAATAACAATAATGTGTGCTCTAAACACATGAAAATATAAAACTTTTTTTTTTTAAAAAGTCAGTACAAAGATATTTATAAAATGGGTTGTAAATATTGTGAATGTTTTTCTGTTTATTGTTATGTGTTTCCAAAATAATAATGTTTTTTGGGGGAAATTATTCGGTTATGACTGTTTTCAAAACTGTCACATATGCGTAGTTTGAAGTATGTTTGAACTGTCGTTGGTCATGTCACTGTAGTTCAGGTGTAGTTGCAATGATTTTACAGAGCGGCTAATCAGCTAACCTCCATCCAGAGATGGCAAAAGTACACACATTCTTTACTCAAATAAAAGTACAGATACTCACGACTCTGGTAAAAGTTGAAGTACTAATAACAATTTTGTACTTGTGTAAAAGTAAAGAAGTACAACCTCAAAAATGTATTTAATAAAAAGTACCCATTACTACTACATGTTTAAGGGGTACTAGGTAGGTAAATATCCGGTTTCCCCCACAGTCCAAATACAAGCAGTATGGGTGATTAGGTAAACAAAATGGGCTGTTGTGTGTGTAATTCTATTAGTGGTCACACTTTACAATAAGATTTATTAGTTAATGTTAACTAATGCATTTACTAACATGAACAAACAATGAACAATAAATCTACTACTTTATTTGTTCATGTTAGTTAATATTAGTTAATGAAAATACAGTTGTTCATTGTTAGTTCATGTTAACTCATGGTGCATTAACTAATGTTAAAAAGCATGGACTAGGATGTTAATAATGCATAAGTAAATGTTCAATTATGGTTAATAAATGCTATACATGCGTTGTTCATGATTAGTTCATGTTAGTAAATGCATTAACTAATGAACCTTATTGTAAAGTGTTACCCTATTAATACATTTATTTTATGCTAAAAGCAACATTCACAGCGGTGACTACAACCTACAAAACATGGTCATGAATTTTTTTCACGTGATAAATTCAGGATCTTTTGCATTATAATTGTATTCATAAATCATATAATAAATAAAACAAAAATTTAAAAAGCGTAAATTCTGTATTGGGAATTATAAACTCATCATAAATAAAATAAATAAATCGCAATGCATAAAATTTTTAAAAAGTGTTTGATTGTTTTAGAACTAAATGTACAAATCTTTACAAAAAAGCACTTTTCCCGAAAGTGGCAGCTTTTAACTAATGTAATCTGATTCAATATTTTATGCTAAACTAAGCTAAAAGTGGTCCCACCATACAGGAATATAGGCTGAATAGATAAAAAAAAATGTTGTAACTCATTAAAAAATCACTATTGGACTTTTTGGCTGTGCAAGATTCACTTGTTTTGTTGTTTCTATTAGAATAGCATGTACAGGCTGCGCCCTCTTCTTGGAAGCAGCAGCTCATTTGCATTTAAAGAGACGTGCATAAAGACAGTAGCTGGGTCCCAAATCGCATACTTATGCACTATTCTACGCCATTTTATAGTATAAATAGTGTAAGTAGTGTCACAATGAAAACTCAAAAAATAATAAGTAGACTTTTATTACCCGGATAATGCACTCATTCAGCTGGTAAAATAAAGTGTGTAATGATGGACACTTCATACACTCAACAACCACAGGTTTGCTCACGTAGTGGAAGGGGCGGAGCTATCGGGCGCACATGTTGGATAACTTTATTTATTTTGGATGGTGAAAGCAAAATTCTCCAACGAGAGTGATTATAGCGCCTCCTGAGGGTTAATGCGGTTATACTCATGGCAGGTATTATTTGATAATTCGGTCGTTTATTTCACGTTTATTCGTTTATTTCGTTTATTTCTGATTAGTAAAAAGACATTAGTGTTCCATTTGGGACGACACTACATACATATACTATCCTGTTGAGTGTGTAAGTGCATAAGTGCATAGTGTATAGTGTGGCATTTGGGACGCAGCTAGTGTGTTTTCTAGGAACACCAGAGATGTATTTTGCATCTTTTGAAAAGGGGCATAATTAAAATGGAGGTCTCCTGAAAAAAAGGTTGGGAAACACTGCTCTAGATGACCAGACTTTAGAACAAAACACTGGTGCTCCTCCAAATGGTAACTGTCTGGAGTTGAAACATCTGTGCTTGGTTATAAACACTTGATGCTCCTTGTATATGCTGTCTTTTTGGCACCGTGTTAATGTGAGCACTTCTCAACAGGAACGTATTATTGAGCGTCTGAAGGAGCAACGTGACCGTGAGGAGCGAGAGAAAGCCGAAGAGCTGGACACCAGTAAAAAAGAGCTGAAGGAGTTAAAGGAGAAAGTCAGTCTGCTGCAGGGAGACCTGTCAGACCGTGAGGTACTGAAAAATCACAGGAAAACACCATTCAATTTAAATTTTTCTAATCATTATTGATGCAGTACTTATGAAATGTGTGCAAAAAAAAAAAAAAAAACACAATACAAAAGAATTCAGGCAAACTATTATTTTAATATTTGTCAGATCAAATTGCATAAGAAATCAGATCACCCAACTAGCAAATGGATTTTCGTATTAATCTAACAACGTCTAGTGAGGTTTATATTTAAAAAATATTAAATAGTAAGATTGAAAAAAAAGGTTACTTAATTGAAGATACAAGATTCATTTTACTTAATTACTAATTAATTACTTTGACAAATTGATAAATAAATCTGCTCATAAGGGGATGTAAGGTGGTCAACCTTGAAACATGCCATATTTTACATGGCATATTTAAAATATTTTTGCCACACAAAATGTTAGCATAGGTTTATTCTGAGAACAAAGCCCTATATACATTTCTGGAGGTTGCAAATTATGTAGCCAGAGGAACGTATGGCTGCATTTCATCTTTAAAAGGAAAGCTACGGGGCAGTATGACGCCGTTTCTTTAACGGCTCACCGTTTAAAGGCTTTAACGGCTCACCGCTTACTTTTGTATGGACAGCTTTCCCGCTGTAAAAATCAGGCAAGGGCTTTTCTCGAATACTTTTTTAAACTGTCGGTTGGGTTTAGGGAAGTGGGTGGGTGGGTCAATAGGTGCTTTTTAAAAACACTATTGGTTGGGTTTAGGGAGGAAAGAGGGCAGGTCATTCGTTAATAGTATTTTGGCTGCAGCACTTAAAAAAATTTTGCAAAAAACTTTACAAATTTTTTTTTCCCAAAATAAAAGATTTTTTATTATTTTCAAACACATTTATCTAATTTTTGAGTGGGATGCTAATCATCTGATTTAATTCAAAGATCTATGCTAAGCTAAAAGTGCTAATGTCAGATCCAGAGATCATCTGAATCTATTTAAAAATGGTAAAACTGGCAAATATATTTTAATATTAATCTAGCAAAATATAGTGATGTTCATATTTAAAAAGTATAAAATATTTAAAGTAAGAATACAATTTTTTTAACTTAATTGAAGTTAATTGAACTTAATTTTCAGAATATCTTCCACAATATGACATTTATTCCAAATATGGATTTATTTAATGTGAGTAAAAAAATTACTAAATGACAAATTGAAAAAAAAATCTGTTGATTAGAGGGTGTAAAGTGGTTAACCTTGAAACAAACACAAACATTTTAAGGTAAATAATTATTATTTTTAATTGTTTTCAAATAGATTTACTTCAAATTTTTGCAAATTTGCAAAAGAATTTAAAACAAATAATAATATTTTTGCTGCAGAACTTATTAAATTTGTGCAAAAAACATTACAATATTTTTTTTTCATTTTTAATGACGATAGAGTCAGGACCTCGGTTTAACGTCTCATCCGAAAGACAGCACTTACTGAGCAGTAAAGAGTCCCCGTCACTATACTGGGGCATTAGGACCCACACAGACCGCAAGTTGGGCGCCCCTGCTGGCCTCATTAACACCACTTCCGGCAGCAACCTAGCTTTCCCATTGTGGTCTCCCATCCAGGTACTGGCCGGGAGACCACAAGGGGTTTTAATTGCATTTTCAGAATGTCTTCCACAATATTTAATTTAATTGAAAAAGAAATCTGCTCATTACGTGATGTAATCAACCTTAAAACAAGCACATATCCTACATGACATAAGAGTGTCTGTCAGAACAGATAAACCACCAAGCCTCGACCTTATAAAGGTACATATTTACTAAAAGTGTTTGTTAGTTATATACCTGCGACCTCAATGCTGTTTGTTTCCAGACTTCTCTGCTGGACCTGAAAGAGCATGCGTCGTCCCTGGCCTCGTCTGGCCTGAAGAAAGACTCCAAACTGAAGAGTCTAGAGATCGCCCTTGAGCAGAGGAGAGAGGAGTGCAGTAAACTGGAGAACCAACTCAAGAAGGTGAGCCACAGCATAGAAATAAAATTATTACCAGTTTTGCTACGCTTTAAAATATTTAATTGGCTAGATGTAGTTTTTTTTGTTAAGTGTGTATGGACAAGGAAAAAAACCGCAGAATACATTATTGAAACATTATTGTAGCCATTGTTCCATCAAAAGAGCTATAATCATTTATGGATTTCTCACTCTGGTTCGAACCTCTTCATGCCAATAACTCTTTCCTCTTTACAAAACACACACAAATATGCTTTTAAAGGGATAGTTCGCCCAGAACTGGAAATACTGTCATCATTTTCTCACTTGTTCCAAATCTGTTCGAGAACACAAAAAAAAGAGCTGTAATCATTGACTTCCATAAAAAAAGTCAATGGTTATAGGTTTCCAGCTGTTTTCAAAATATATTCGTTTGTGTTCAACAGAAAAAAGAAACGCATAAATGTTTGAAACAATTAAAGAATGAGTAAATAATGACAGAATTTGTATTTTTGGGTGAAATACTGTATTTGGTTTGAATGTCCATCCATTATAACGTACTGTGAGTTCTAATAATGTGCAGTCCATAAAACTAAAACCTAAAAATGAAAGTTCAAATTCAATTCAATTTCAATTCAGCTTTATTTGTATAGCGCTTTTAAAATGTAGATTGTGTCAAAGCAGCTTCACATAAATGGTCATAGTAACTGGAACAGTGTGGTTCAGTAACTGGAACAGTGTGGTTCAGGTTTTAGTGTTTAAGTTCAGTTCAGTTCAGTTCAGTTTAGCTCAGTTCAGTGTGATTTAATCATTACTGAGAGTTCAAACACTGAAGAGCAAATTCATCGATGTGTAGCTCTACCAATCCTGAACCATGCGAGGCAGTGGCGACAGCGGAGAGGGAAAAAAACTTCACCTGATGGGAGTGAAGAAAAAAAAACCTTGAGAGAACCAGACTCAGTTGGGCACGACCATTTTAATTTCTCCGCTGGCCAAAAGTCTTGTGCAGAACTTCATTCGCCGTGGTTTATGCTAGAAGATGGCCTCAATGAAGACTCGTCTGTCCCTGGAGCGTCGCTGGAATCAGACACATGTTCTCCACTCCCCACGACCATCAGCGCAGCAGCAGCTCAGGATATGGCCTGGTCCCAGATATGGAATCCTTGGGATCATCACGTCGCTGGTCTTAGATCCAATCAGTGACTCCGCCTAATCTGAGGACCTCGGGATGAGTATCCCCAGGTGAAAATAGAGAATAAAGAGAATAATTAGCATAGCTGCTGTTCATAGTGTATATAAGCAAGATGCAGAAGCCAGTGTGGAACCCGCTAGGTGATGCATTGAGTGTATGCTTTACTAAACAGATAGGTCTTTAATCTAGTTTTGAACTGGGAGAGTGTGTCTGAGCCTCGGACGTTATCAGGAAGGCTATTCCAGAGTGTAGGAGCCATGAAAGAGAAGGCTCGACCTCCTTTACTTGATTTTGCTATTCTAGGTACTACCAGAAGCCCTGAATTTTGAGATCTTAAAGAGCGAGTTGGTTCGTAGCGAGACAGAAGGTTGGTTAGATAAACAGGAGCTAGATTATTTAGAGCTTTATAGGTGAGAAGTAATATTTTAAATTCAATACGAAACTTAACAGGCAGCCAGTGTAAGGAGGATAAAATTGGGGTTATATGATCATATTTTCTAGACCTGGTCAGAACTCTGGCTGCTGCATTTTGTACTAATTGAAGTTTGTTAATAGAGGATGCTGGGCAGCCAGCAAATAGAGCATTACAGTAATCCAGTCTCAAAGTCATAAAAGCATGGACTAGCTTTTCTGCATCTGAGATGGATAGCATATTTCGTAATTTAGCGATATTTCTCAGATGAAAGAAGGCAGTTTTTGTGACATGGGATATATGGTTTTTAAAAGTTAGATTGCTGTCTAATATGACACCCAAATCTTTTATAGTAGAGCTAAAGCTAACTTTGTATCCCTCTAATTGTAAATTGAGTTGCGAGATCTGCTGTGTGCAAGATTTAGGCCCAATAAGTAATAATTCTGTCTTGTCGGAGTTTAAGAGAAGAAAATTGTTGGTCATCCAGTCTTTGATGTCTTTGATACACTCAGTTAGTTTAGAAAGTTCAGACGTCTCGTCAGGTTTAGTTGAAATATATAATTGAGTATCATCTGCATAGCAGTGAAAGCTGATCCCATGTCTTCTAATAATGTCTCCCAGAGGTAGCATGTAAATTGTAAACAGTAAAGGGCCTAAAACTGATCCTTGAGGCACCCCATACTTTACTGGGCAGATTTGTGCAGGCTGTCCATTAAGATTCACAAACTGGTAGCGGTCAGTTAAGTATGACTTAAACCATTGTAGAGCCTGTCCCTGGACACCTGTAGACTTTAAGCGATTTATGAGGATATTGTGGTCAATGGTATCAAATGCCGCACTAAGATCGAGTAAAACTAATAGCGAGACGCACCCTCGGTCAGCAGCTAAGAGTAAATCATTGGTTATTTTCACTAAGGCGGTTTCTGTACTGTGGTGAGCCCTGAAACCTGACTGAAACACTTCAAAAATATTGTTCTTCTGCAGAAAAGAGCATAATTGAGTGGAAACAACTTTTTCTAGTATTTTAGACATAAATGGAAGATTTGAAATAGGCCTATAGTTAGCTAAGTTGTTGGTGTCTAGTTGCGGTTTCTTAATAATAGGCTTAATAACAGCTAGCTTGTAAGAGTTTGGAACATGGCCTATAGATAAAGAAGAGTTGATAATGTTAAGAAGAGGTTCTCCTATAGCAGGTAACAGCTCTTTCAGTAATTTTGTTGGAATTGAGTCCAGCATACACGTAGCTGGTTTAGAGCTATTTATAATTTTTACTAACTCTTCGTGTTCTATGATTTTAAAGCAGTGTAAATGTTACATTATTCAAGTTTGTAACGAACCTTCAAGTAAAGATCAACAATTTGTATTATTTTATTTTTAATTTAATATTGGAAATATGTTTTTAAAGTACAGTTGTTTTGACCTGATGTCTATTGAAATGGAAAAACAAAACAAAAAAATAACTTAAATCAATTATTTGATTTTCTTTTGAAATTGATTTTTCTTTTGAGAATTTCGGTAAATTAATAAATTCTTTTACATTTTTCCTGAAAGTTGGAACATAATTTAAGTTATTCAGGAAGGAGTTCAAATCCGATTTCAACATTAGTAAATGCACTGTAAGTGAACATGAACTAACAATCAATAACTTTTTATTAATTGACATTGATAAATACTGTAATAAATGTATTTTTCATTGTTTGTTCATGTTAGCAAATACATAACTTTTACATGAACATTAAATAAAACCTTATTGTAAAGTATTAAAACAATAATTACGATATTACTGTAAATGCTAAAAATCGCACACCTAGTGCATATTATAAGTATCCAAATTGGGATGTAGCCATTATAAATAACAGATGCAAAAACTAATGAGATATACATGAAACATTTTTATATGTGTGTGAGATCTATTTGAGTTTGTGTAAGTTGTGCTTGTGTTTCTATCTTAGGCCCACAGTGCTGCAGTGAACGCCCAGGCCAATGCCGAGATTTCTGAGCGCATTTCTTCGCTTGAAGCTGATGTGTCCAGACACAGAGAGGACTCGGCCAAAGCCCAGGCTGAAGTCGATCGTCTACTGGACATCCTGCGTCAGATGGAGAATGAGAAGAATGACAAGGACAGAAAAATCAGTGAGCTGGAGAGGTCAGTCTTTCTCCCTCATCTCCTTTGCAAATGTGATTATTTTTCACGTTGGTGTTGCAGTCAAAACGCGTTATGGTTTCTTGCTTTTTTGCTGCCATGTTTGGGCGTCAACGTCAAAACTTTTTCAGTGTTTGAGTTTGATGAGGCTGATGTTTTGACTGGACTTCTTTTCCCTCCCCTTGACTTTTGCATTGAAGCTCTGTTTTTCTCACGCTGAGTGGCCTTTGAACTTCTGCTTTTTGTCTCCCTCTTTTTCACTTTTTCACATGGAAATGTGTACCTAGTGTGGCTTCCAGGTTAGTAGATACATGTGTACTTCCACACACATTAATGGACAGAGTCTTTAAAGCAGTGGTAGGGAACCTATGGCTCGCAAGCCACATGTGACTCTTTGACCAAAAATATATGAATCTCCAGCTGTCTCTTCAATAACATTTTGTGGTTGAAAAAAATGATAATCGTCACTAAAAATCCAAAAGTTTCCTATTGAAAATACAATCACAATTCCTTTTTAGTGTCATTTTTTACAGCAAAATAAATAAGTACTCAGTTTACAATAAAAGGACGTTTTGATCAATGTATGTGTGCTTTGTTGTGAATAAACTTGAATCAACAAAAATAGGCGAACAACTTACGTTTCTATGGTAAACTCATGCACATAAATTCAGACAACATTCATTAGAGGTGATGGCGAAAAAATAATTCTAGAGATTGTCCTTCATTCATGGACTTATAGTTGTGATTTATAGAGTTGTACAAGTACATAAATGAAGTTTTTGTTTAAAAGTGTATTATTTGTTATTTATTTTTAATAAAAGGTTCCCGACTCCTGCTTTAAAGGATTAATACCCTTTTAAAGATCCCATGAGATCAGTTTTGTAGCAGTTAGTCTAATATATGATGGTGTACCCTTAACCCTTTAGAGGTTATTCTTTAAAATACTTATTGTAAAATACCTGTAGTGTGAGACGTTTAAACTTTTTAAAAATTATTGTATAGTATTATAATCAGTGTCAGTTAACATATATGTTTCTTTGCCAGAAAAAAAGGTTAAAATGAGCAGACTTAAAGTTAAGTAAAGTGAAAGGAAAATCCAAATTTGTATAACTTTATTATCTGCACGTTATAATCATCTTGCCCTTATATTTTCGAGGAGTGAGCAATATTATTATTGTTGACGTGAACCATAAATGGTGAAAAATACTGAAAAGCTTAGATATATTTAATATTATTTATCCTAAAACACTAAAAATGCTGAAATCGATGACTGAAAAACTATGGAGTTTCCAAAAGGACGTGGTGATTCTGAGAAATAGTTCATGTTCATTCACAAAATGTTTGCGTTTCCAAACCTTTCACTAGGAAACACAATACATTTGCAACAGAATTGGAATTGATTGGGGAGTGCAAAACATTTATGATATGTATAAAATGATAACTTTCTCAGGAGTACACAATACCTTTGCAAAAATGAATAGTTTCACCATAAATAGTAATGGGCAACCCGGGCTCATTGTGGAAACGTAGTCCCGCGGACGTTTCTGGAGATCGCGGAATACGTCCCGGCGGGTACGTACGGCTGCAGTTTTTGTTTTCGCGAATCCGTGAGAGGCCGCTGTTGCAGGCTTTTTCGCACCTTAGACGCCTCTTGCGAGCACGGTTCGTGCCCACGCTGTTCTCGCGTAAACCCGCGTAGGCCCCTGTTCGACCGGATGATTGACTGCGCAACCGGCCAATCGGCCGACCCGCCCTCCTCCTTCCCCCAACCCAACCCATTTTACCGATCGATTCGCCCGCCCGCTTGCTTCCCTAAACCCGAGCGACAGTTTACAAAAGCCGCCCAAAAAAATAGCTGAGCTGAGTGGACAAACGGGTTTCAGCGGGGAAGCCCTCCGCAAGGAGGTAAGGCAAGCGCGAAAGGGAACGGCGTCACACCGCCCTGCAGCGTTCGCTTGAAAAAAATAAACGCGGCCGTACGTACCCCCCATGAACCATCAACTATTCTGGCATATGTTTTATGCAGCGGATGCCCTTCCAGCCGCAACCCAGTACTGGGAAACAACCATACACTCTCACAATCACACACGCATTCATAAATTCATATGGCCAATTTAGTTTATTCAATTCACTTATAGCGCATGTCTTTGGACTGTGGGGGAAATCGGAGCACCTGAAGGAAACTCACTCAAACACAGGGAGAGCATGCAAACTCCACATAGAAATGCCAACTGGTCCAGCCAGGATTCAAACCAGCGACCATCTTGCTGTTAGGCGACAGTGCTAACCACTGAGCCACCGTGCCATCCTTTCAGGAATATGATAAACTATTTTTTGTGAGGATGCAATACTTTTATGAAAGAACATAACACTTTTTAAACTCCCGTCTCGTGTTGTTTTCTATCACCATGTTCCTTTTGGGTCTCTGTGTACAAATCAATTTATGCATTACGTAATTATAATGGACAGTATGAAAACTGATATTCATTTCGAGATTTACTAAAGATTAAATGTAATAAAATTATAAGTTATTTTAATTTAGAAGGATGTTTTCCATTAAAATCGTAACTTAAAACGAGTCCGCAATAATGGCAGTCATAATCTAAATATACAGTGCATCCGGAAAGTATTTATAGCTTCACTTTTTCCTCAAAATTGTACACACAATACTCCATAATGACATTGTGAAAAAGTTTTTTTTTTTTTAATTGCTGCAAATTTATAACTCGTAAATTAATAACCCGAACCTTATAGAAGGAAAACCATCTGTGCAGCAATCCACCAATCAGGCCTTTATGTTAGAATGGCCACAACATCAATGCTCCATGAATGTCATTGAGTGGCCCAGCCACAGCCCAGACCTAAATCTTATTGAACATCTCTGGAGAGATCTGAAAATGGCTGTAGACCGTCGCTTCCCATCCAACCTGATAGAGCTTGAGAGGTATTGCAAAGAGGAATGGGCAAAAATTCCCAAATACAGGTGTGCCAAGCTCGTGGCATCATATACAAAAAGACTTGAGGCTGTAATTGCTGCCAAAGGTGCATCAACAAAGTATTGAGCAAAGGCAGTGAATACTTATGTACATGTGATTTTTCAGCTTTTTTTATTTTTAATAAATTTGCAACAATTTCAAAAAATCTTTTTTCCCATTGTCATTATGGAAAATTGTAGAATTTTGAAATAAATTAATTTAATCCATTTTGAACAAGGCTGTAACATAAAAAAAGGGAAAAAGTAAGCGCTATGAATACTTTCCAGATCCACTGTATGAAATGAAGTAGTAATTTATTTGAGATTTAAACATGTATAGCATTATAGAATATTGATTTATCATGCATCCCTAATTTTATTTAATCAGAGGCTCACTAGAATGAGCACTGCCCCATAACATCACCTAATTGTATTAAAAATGATTAAATCATAGCTATGTCAAAACCTGAAATTCATGAGGTTTTCAGTAAAAAAGCAAGACAGAAACAACGAAAGAAAAGGCAATGTAATGTACTTGATCTTAAATATTTGCTCTTTAATAGTATTATTACTGTTGAAGAGTTTCAAATAGCACAAGCATTTTTCATCCGATCAGCCTTTGCAATATTTACAGACTAATAATAAAATAAATTTTTTTCCACAATAAATTTTGAACCCCTTTACTCTCCTCCACACTAAGGCCCTGTTTACACTCGTGTGTTTTAGTTTTACAATGGCGTTTTAAAATGAAAACGATCCGCGTCCACACTAGCGTTTCACCCAGTGTTTCTGAACAGCTCTCCGTCTACACCAAAACACTGAAAACGCACATCACAGGACCACACACACACTCCGGGCATGTGCTGCAGCCTATCTGGACAGATGAGAGCTGTGCTGGTCGGAGTGTTCATCAAGGATCTCCTGCTGGATCTAATCTCGCTGTATTTGTTAAACGAGATACTTAATTCATTTTGTTGTCAATATCTAACAACATATTCCCCGACTTTAGTCTTTTGAATCTATTACTTGTTCTCAGTTAACGTGTTTTGGCTGAGTGCAACGATAAATTAATAATTAATGTAACCATGTACATTCTGTATATGGAGTAATTGCTTGCCTTTATTTCCTATAATGTATCAATTTATTGTATGTTATACTTTTATAATGGCCATTATTGATTATTAAAATTGATATTCAGCAAAAAAGAGGGTATGTTTCGTATTTTCAATGAAAATGAAAAGAGGCAGTGATATTATAGGCTCTGTCTTGTTATGTATACGCATACAGTGAAGATGACGGTCATATTTGCAGCACGACGCCTCAACATTTCTGCTGTCTGTTAAGTTGTTAATATCAAAATGAAAATAGCAGTCCATATATCATGGTTTTATTTTATTGTTGAGATATAGTGAAACAACGTAGCCAGGATGATGTGAATAAGGCTATAAAGTAGACTGTTCCTTTTGAAGATTTACCTGACATGTTCTCGGTTGTCTGTTTTCCATATCAAACTTGCAAAGTCTGAACTTACAAGGAGAGGATGCAGGACTGAACTGTTTGTAGGCTTCTTAATATTAAAGGAAAACCTCAATCAGAGAGGCGAATGTCGGCAGCCCCGCCCTTGTTTTCAGATGTCTCCGTTTTCCCTCATCCACACTGAGAAGGATCAGCAACATTTTAGAATGGAAACGGCCTCTTCAGAGTTTCCAAAATGCTCCGTTTTCGGCGCTCGAAAACTCCGGCGTAGTGTGGACGATTGGCGTAACCGTAGCAAAACTTATGTGTTTTAAAACAAAAATGCATTAGTGTAAATGGGGCCTAAAACTCTTTAGTTCACCATTAAAATGCAGAGCGTTCTTCTCACAAAAGCATCATGTTTATGTTTCAGGCAAATGAAAGAGCAGAGTAAGAAGTCTGGCAAACACAAGGAGCCGCCGGGAAAGGGCAGAAATGTCAACGATGGCCCACAGCAGGTGAGGTGAACAGAGAGATGGTTATGACAGTTCTGTCTCTTTTGACGGCTCTCTGTATTTTTCCTAACACTGTCAAACTGTACTGTGTGCTGATGATGAGCTTGTCTATCCCAGGAGTCTCTGCGGCAGAAGGCAGAGCGTATCGAGGAGCTGGAAGAGGCTCTCAGAGAAAGTGTTCAGATCACTGCCGAAAGAGAGATGGTACTGGCACAGGAGGAGGCCGCTCGCAACCACCAGGAGAAACAGGTAAATATTAAAACGGTTGATATAATATTAATATAGTCAAAAGTACCAACTTGGATGTTGATACTTTGCAAGTGTGATGATACAAGCGTTTTCTGAATGCTTTTTAGGTATTTCTATAGGTTTTTTCACACCTAAAGATCGATTGTTTTGTTCTGAAACAGGAATTAAAATTGAAACAATGTTGTTTTTTGTCCTTTTTGTGGTTCGTTTTCACATGGCAACGTTTCTAAATGGTCCAAAGTGATTAAAAAAAAGTCACATGCTAGTAAGGTCTCCTAAAATTTGTCAGATTTGCTTTATTTTTCGAGATTACATTCAGTAGATATATGTTTTATTTTAATTTATGATAATGAGAAATATAACATTATAAGCAAAAAGGTGCACTTTAATTTTGAATGGTGACAACCGCAGACAAAAGGCTCTATCATAACCCTGGCACAATAGGGCGCAAGACTTGTTTTTACAACGTGTTGCTATTTTCAGAGCAGCGCAACCTAAATTTTCCAGTTATTCACCACGCTGTTTAAATAGCAAATATATTTGCGCCACTTTGTGGACTCACGGGTATTTTGGTCTAGAAAAGAGGTGTGTTAAGGCGCATTGTTGGCGCATTGCTATTTTTAGCAACTGAAATGGACTGCACAATAGACCTGGGGCCTCATGTATCAACGCTGCGTACGCACAAAAACTTTGCGTACGCCAGGTTTCATGCTCAGAATCGCTCACGTTTGGATTTACTAACGATGAACTGAACGTGGGAATGTGCGCAGCTCCACGCCAACTTCATGGCTGGCGTACGCACATTTTTTGTGCGTGTCTGTTTTATTTCCATTGGCGACTCCTAGAGGCAGTTGTGTTAAATTGCACTCTACAAAGTGTCTTTGAGCCGTGCAATGGCAGCTGTATGAGACGGGTTCATCGAGCAGGTATATAAGATTTCCATACCATACAGTTGACCAGCCAAACATTAAAGTGCAATTTGTAGCGATCGCCGGTTTCCCCAATGTAATCGGAGCAATCTCCTGCACGCACATTGCTCTAAAGACACTATCTGAAGATGAATTTGCATGCATGAATCAGAAACATATCGATTCAAAAAATGTGCAAATAAAATATGATGCACAGACTTATTAATGATTCCTACTTGTCTTCCTCGTGATAAATAGTTGGCAAAATCTGATATGTAGCGGGGGGAAAAAGAAAAATAATGACTTCATCAGACGCTGGATTCGAACGGAGTTCATGCTCGAACATGTCAAAACATGTTAACATGCGTTTTACGAGCTGCGCCACCCAGACTGTTAGATGTACTACAATATTTTGCACCTATACATCTCACTATTTCTTTTTTTAATCTCAGTGTGATGTTCAGATTTAACTGTGTTAACTGCATCAGCTAAACTCTCCCCACTCTATTTTTTTCTTTTGTTATTAATTCCGGAGGACAAACTTGCAAATAACATCGTTTTTCTCCGGTCTACCTCCGAACGGAGTACCTCCAATTCACATTCTGTTTAAAGTTTCTCTTTTTGCTTGATTTTGCCATTGCTTTTTCGTTGGGTTTTGCCAAAGTATAGTCATTAGCATATTCATATGGGGGAGGAGGCAGGGAGGGGTTTTGCGCTCGTGCATGTTGCGCTCAGTTTCACGTTCATTCGGATGTACAAAGAATATGTGTGGGATTTGGCGTACGCAGTGTTTCATATATCTGAATTTTTTTCTGCGTACGCACATTTACAGCTTTGTGCATACGCAATGTTTTAGTATGATTTCCACGCAAGTCTTCGTACATGAGGCCCCAGGTGAAAGCAGGTCAAAAGTCCAGCGCAGAGCGCTTTAATTGTTCGCCTCGCTTACACTTTGCTTAATACACATAGCATGTACAGAAATACAAAATATTATATTTATATATATAATATCTTTACAAATGAAAAATAATTTAAGAGTTAAAATATTTAAAAAATTATTACTTTTTACATAAATATAAAAACCACTGCCTCCATGCCTTCTTCATCTCGGGAGCTTTTTTTCAGTTTATTCATAACAATTTGCTTTTGTATAATGTTATTATTAGTAGCAGTATTATTTATTATATGCATATTTATATTTGCTTTATTAAAAACAAGCTTAGATTTTGATTTTCAATAAGATGTAGTTGTGTTTACTAACTATTTATTCAGTTAAACATAAATGTTGATCTGTAGGTATACATAAGCTCGAAACAGATTTTTGATGACCTTATTCCGACTAAAGTCATAACTAAACTAAACAAAAATTAAATTAGGACATGTGGATTTTGCATATATTAGTGTCATTACTGAAGTAAACACCACAATCAAACTATTACCGTCATGAAAGACTTTTCACTATATTTTCCGACAAGATGCACACACGCAGCTGACATTAAAGGAACGCACACACACACATACACACATCACGAAAAGCAGTTTTTTTCCTATCCATTTGGCGTGCGTTATTAAATTCCATAACTCTCTCACCAGTTCTTACTCATTTGTGTCTTACACCCCAGTTTGTCATGGCGGCATGAATTAAATGTTCATGAGTTAAAGTGAAAATTTCACATTTACAAAAGTAATAGGACAGAATAATAATCATAAATGAAACTTTTACTTTAAGACTTGGTTGCAAATCCTTTGCAGTCAATTAAAGCCTGAAGTCTGGAACGCATAGACATCACCAGACGCTGGGTTTCATACCTGGTGGTGCTCTGCCAGGCCTCTACAGCAACTGTTGTCAGTTCCTGCTTGTTCTTGGGGCATTTTCCCTTCAATTTTGCCTTCAGCAAGTGAAATGCATTTGGATCAGTTGGATTCAGATCAGGCGATTAATTTGGCCATTGCATAACATTGCACTTCTTTCCCTTCAAAAACTCTTTGGTTGCTTTTGCAGTATGCTTTGGGTCATTGTCCATCTGCACTGTGAAGTGTTGTCCAATGAGTTCTAAAGTATTTGGCTTAATATGAGCAGAAAATGTCGCCTGAAACACTTCAGAACTCATCCTGCTTCTTTTGTCAGCAGTCACATCATCAATAAATACAAGAAAACCAGTTCCATTGAGTCATACATGCCCACACCATGTCACTACCACCATGCTTAACTGCTTAGGATCAGTGTAGTTCCCTTCCTTCTCCATACTCTTCTCTTCCCATCACTCTGGTACAAGTTGATCTTGATCTAATCTGTCCATATGACGTTGTTACAGTACCGTGGCAGGTTTTTAAAACTCTAACCTTACCTTTCTGTTTTTGAGGCTGAGCAATGGTTTAGATTTTGTGGTAAACCCTCTGTATTCACTCTGGTGTCGTCTTCTCTTGATTGTTGACTTTAACAAACATACACCTACCTTTGTATGTTCTTGATCAGGCCACGCTTAATGTTTTTGCTTTTTCTCTGATGGTTTTGTTAGCCTAACGAGGGCTTGCTTGACTGAAAGTGACAGCTCTTTGGATCTCATCTTGAGCGTTAACAGTAAAAGATTCCAAATGCAAATAACAAACTTGAAATGAACTCTCTGCCTTTGATCTGCTCATTGTAATTGGGATAATGAGAAAAAAATATACACCTGGCCATGGAACAGCTGAGAAGCCAATTGTCCAATTGATTTGGACCCTTAACAAGTAGGAGGCACATATGCAAGCTTTTGTAATTCCTACAGCGTTCACCTGATTTGGATGTAAATACCCTCAAATTAAAGCTGACAGTCTGCGGTTAAAGCACGTCTTGTTCATTTAATTACAGATTCGTTGTGTTGGTGTATGGAGTAAAAAATGTTAGAATTGTGTCGATGTCCAAATATTTATGGACCTAACTGTATATTGCTATTCCATAACCATAATATACAGTGATACCGACGGGTTCGTTGGATCATATTGCTTTCTCACTACAACTGAAATACTCCAGAGTTTGTTTCAACGGAGCCGAGACCACCTCGTTCAGGCTGTCTCGGACCAATTGTTTTGCTGCAGATTCGAGCGGGATTGTGGTGTTCACATAAGCCGAAACAAACCAAGCTAAGGGGCAAATGGACCAGGTTCAAAAACAAATGTCTAGGTGTGAAAGCACCCTAACACATCTGATTGGTCATTGTGTTCACAAGCTCAACAGATATAACTGATTCACAACAATATCTCTTAACACTATTTAGTAAAGGCTTACAAAGTTACATAAACATATGAGGGATTCACTGATTAAGTATTCAAATGCTCTCATGTCTGTGTATCTGCCTGGAGAAAATCTTAGCATAGATGAACAACAGAACTTCTGGTCTTCCTGGCAACTTCAGCTATATAACATAATTTCACCATCCATCTGGGATCATTAACTATTATCCCTCCTAAGGCTGAATAGAGCGCTCTGAATTGTTATTCTGCAATAAATCAGAGCGCGAGAACATAAATTGAAGTGACGTAACCAAGTACACAATTAAAGTCAAAAGGGGATCCAAAGAAGCCGGCTGTAAATCACTACATTTTTAAAAATATTTGCAAACGATATGAATTATTTGATTATTTTCAGAAGTGAACCCCTCTGTGGTGAGTGACAAGTACTGTGGTAATGGTACTAAACCCTGCTTCATGAAAACTTTTTTATGTGTGCTTGTATGTCGGTTTCATTTTGTGGAATGAGAAAACAAACTACTGTCCCCGGTGAGTGCTGAAAGACACTCTCTCACACAGGTGCAAAACATGTGCTCTCGTTTCAGCCTGCTGCCGTCTGTTTGGTGTGTTCATGTGCAGCTTTTTGGTCTAGATGCAACCAACGAAAGCCAACAATATAGTAGTTATTCAGCTATGCTGTTTGTTGTTTGCTATTAGCTTTGTTGTTTGCTATTAGCTATGCTAATTCTTTGGTTTCTGCTTGGTGTGTCTCGCCCTTAAGACTGAAGGGTTTTATTCTGCAAACAACAACCTGGATGCACTTTATCCTGCTTTTTTACATGGCAACCTGCCAAAAAATAAAAAATTAGACATCTCATTGTTCTGAGATGTAATAGTTTATTAACTCTTTAGTTAAAGGCAAAGTTGAAAGAAATGAAAATGGCTGATGAAGCATACGCTAATGCTGAGCTCAGACTGCACGATTTTCAAAATAGTCTTGTCATGGATGTTTTCACTTTGCATAACTATCTGGGGTAGCGTTCCGTCTGTGCTGTGTTTACATAGATGGATCGGCGACAGGGGGTTTCACACTGCATGACTTTAAAATAGGAAGATTCACCTATAACTTTGTCCTCACAACCAAACACACACGAGAAGTGACATGGAAACAATGCGAGATCATGTAATATATCTTTCGTTATTAACTACATAATGAGAAAGAAGCCTTTATTGGGGTAGAAAATGTACTTATATTGCTCACCTGGATTTTGAAAAGAATTAGCAATTTCTCCTCAACTGTTTTCTTTTTTTAACCCGGTTGTGGTATTGCTCAGATGACATGTCAAACCTTTTCCTCCATTTCTTGGGTCCAAATAAACTGAAAATAAGTGCTTTTGACTTCTCCCCCAACCTCCCGCTAGCCTGCAGGTATCAATACTTGTGGATGCTGCTCTCTCATTGGCTGTAGGTAATTCCTGATATTATTTTCAATCAGAACACATTTCACACAGCATGATTTTGAATTGCTGACAGGTCCAGATAATTAGCATGCCGAATATCTCATAGGTGTCGGCGACTCATTTGCGATTCTCTCAGATCTCGTCCTTGATAGTTTATACTATGTGATTGTCGCTCACGTGAGCAAACACCAATTTGCCTGTGATTCAGGGAAATCAGGGCTAAAATCATGCAGTCTGAACTCAGCATCAACTATATATTGTTCAGTCACAAGATGGTGCCAAACAGTCAAAAACTGTGGCAGAGACAGTCAAACATACTCACTGACGGTCAAGATGATTTAAAGGACCCGGAGAAGCCCGTAACTGGGAATAGCATACCTTGGAATGTTGCAACTGACCAATCAGAATCAGGTATTCTGGCCAGCCATGTAATAACACTCATTAACCCTAAAGGCTAATTTATTCTTACCGTACGTTTACACCAAAAGAAGCGAGAGCGTCAAAGTAGTCGGAAGTCATTCATTTTCAATGACAGCCGGCGGCTTCGCCGGTGTGGGCGTCAAGGAAAATTTAAATCAAGTTAACTTTATGATAATAAGCTATGACGTGGTTCGGCGGCAAGCAATCAGAATGAAGAAGTCCTCCGCTTGAAAGGAGTTCAGAGAACACAAACCTGTGCACTTTGGTTCTGACCACACGTTCCCAAAGGTTTGATTGTGGTTTGATTGCAGTCGACTGATTTTCAGTTATTTACAATGTTTCCTTACAGGAATATGCATTAAATAAGTTACTGGCGAGTTACTGATGAGCCTTAATGTAATATATACTTATCTAAAAAGCGGGAATCTCATGCGACAGTGCAAAGCAGTATTGCTGCTTCAGGATATTTCAGACATATGGACATATTGGGTAATTAAGTGGAGCAAAGCCATACCACATGCAACTTGATCTTCCATTCTCAAATTAATTTGATTAGAAGTGCGCATCATTTTCACGCTAGAAAGCAAATGTTTTATGCAGGAATGTAACTGATATGCTGCAACGACCCCTTTTAAATACGAGATCAATGTAGCGAATTCTGATGCTCTCGCCGCCGGAGCTGAAGGCAGACAGCGTTTTCGCCAAGGCAGCCAAACCGACCTTAGACGCTCTCACCGCCTTCGGTGTGAACGCACAGTTATGTGTCAAGTGCACGCATATGGTCTGGTGCAGTCTTCGCACGGTCACATACCCCTCTTGTTTTGTGTTTACCTTATGATTAAAGTTGTTGCATGACTGCAGGTTCTTGCCTTAGAATGAGCAAGGTTTAGCTACTTGCACAGCACGTAGCGTTCAGAAAAAAACAAACACCAGCGAAGAAACTCAACACAGAGAAACACAAAAACTTCACTGCCAGCTAGTGTTTTAGAAGTGTTATTGCTGTGCAGCATAAACAGTACTCAGAAATATAAATGCACAACAACGCACAAGGCAGGCATAGTGGGTCACACCTATCACTCGACGCACAAGTATAAACCAGCCATAACCCACTCTGAGGGCTCTTGGCCTTCCACTCACTACATACAACCTAAAAAAGAAATCTCTTTCCCTTCCCTAATCTAGGACTTATTCATGAATTAGTGTTAAATCTTTTTTCATAAAAACGTTTGAGAAAAGTAAACTATGCACAATTTTGAGAGCAAAATGTCTATTGTCAAAAGTCAAATTTACATTGTTTTCCATTGGTCAATGTGTCAATTTCATTTTACCAGCTTCAACACAAAGTGAAATCACCCCTAAAAGTGGTAAAGTTTGTGATGTACAGAACAAGTGAAAGAGACATACCTTCTCTTTTTGTCCTAAAAGATGGAAGAGCTGCTCGGAGCGATGGAGAAGGTAAAGCTGGAGCTTGAGTCCATGAAGGCCAAGATGTCGTCCACCCAACAGTCTCTGGCAGAGAAAGAAGCTCATCTGACCACACTGAGGGCCGAGAGGAGACGACACCTGGAGGAGGTGCTGGAGATGAAGTAGGTTACAAAAATCATTTTACATCCTGTCATAACGGTGCCTAAAAAGAGTCTGAAATCTGAAAATGGGAGGAGGAGTAGGGTTTGTGAACGTATTGTGAAATGAAAGCCATTAAATATATATATTTTTGCACATTTAATTTTTTTATTATTTTGAGTATTTATAAAGTACTATTAAGTGAAAATGGCTTTTTGTAAAATATGAAGTTATATTAGTTTCAGAAAACATTTGTAAAATTTATTTAGCATTTCTCCCAAAATTTCTCACACAGTTTGAGCAATGAATTTTGCTGATAAGCATGAAAATCTTATAGTGATTGTTTATTTATATTTTTAATTAGAAATAAATCAAGTTTTCATAAATTTAATCAGTGTATTTCAGTTTAGTTGTAAATTTAAAAGAATTTAATTATATTACATGCTTTGCGTTGGGGATAAATTATATGTTCTTAAATTTAATGCAGAGATATAATGCAATAAGATTTATCATTAATATTAATAAATCCGAAGCATGATCCAAAACAGCCAGGTTTAAACTTTGACTAAAGCGATTCAAAGCTTTACAACGTGGGGTAAAATTCCTCAATTTGTGTAACTGTTTCTTTGTTGCAGCCTTCAGAGCAATTCATGGTTTTGAAACGTTTCAAAGCTTTAACACAATTGCTTCAACTGTTTCAGTGTTTTATGAAGCCTTGCACTGCCCAACACTAGTCAAAAGCAGACAAATGATCGGTGCAGGTGACAAAAAAACAGGCAGGATAAACAAAACACAGGTCAAAAACACGACAAGGCAAGACAAGACAAGAATACCGCTTAGAAATTTTCCGAACAACAAGACACTGCAACTGCATCATGGTGGCGCAATGGGTAGCACGATCGCCTTACAGTAAGAAGGTCGCTGGTTCGAGCCCCAGCTGGGTCAGTTGGCATTTCTATGTGGAGTTTGCATGTTCTCCCCATGTTCGTGTGGGTTTCCTCCGGGTGCTCCGGTTTCCCCCACAGTCCAAAGTCATGCCATATAGGTGAATTAAATAAGCTAAATTGGCCATAGTGTATGTGTGTGTCTGCAAGAGTGTAAAGGTGTTTCCCAGTATTGGGTTGCAGCTGAAAGGGCATCCGCTACGTAAAATATATGCTGGATAAATTGGAGGTTCATTCCACTGTGGCAACCCCTGATTAATAAAGAGACTAAGCTAAAAAGAAAATGTATAAATAAATGAAGACTCAGCAACTTGTCTGTGTGTGTGAGGTGTATTTATAGTAGGGATGTCCTGATACAACATTATAACTTCCGATATGATACCGATATTGCAGCCTTCAGTACGAACCGATACCGATATAAATCCGATATTAGCACAAATCATGAATACTTAACTTTTTCCTATTTCGTTGAGGGGAATTTATGAACAGCTTGATAAAACTGAGAACAAAAGTCAGCAACAGTGAGGATGGAAAAAAACAAGCAATATATTAACTATTGGTTGCATAAATGTGAACCTTTTACATAAGAATATATGAAAAAGAATTAAAGAATAAATATTAAGACCCTGAAAAATATCTTAATTGAATAAACAAAAATATATTTTTTAAAGTGTAAAATACTAATTTAAGGTCACTTCAGTTATTTATTTTTCAGCATCAGCAAATAGTTGAGACAGCTGAGAGCAGGAACATATGAAAATAAAACATTGTTAATTGAACAACTGCTAAAGGTTGAGTGTCCAATGTTTTAATTTCACACACAGCTTCTTGATGAATTTTTGATCCAGTTTTAAGCTGAAAAATATCTTTCACACAGGGGAGCAGATATAAATTATTGTTAAGCTAATGAAAATGTGCAGTATGGTTAATACAAAAATTTACATGATCAGATCTATTTAATCTGTGTTTGTATCATAAGAAGATTATGGCTGTATCAATGTTCCCAAACCTTATTAATTTTATAATAAAATATTTGCACATATTATCTTTAACAAATATACTTGTAGTAGCTGGATTGAAACACACCTTTTCTCCTCAGCACATAAAATAATGTGACATTTAAAAATAATTTAATTTATCAAAATAAATTGTATTTGCATAATATATTGCACAGATTCCACCCTACTGCCTTACATGGGAAAAGTACGACAATGTAAATAGAGACAGAACTGCAAACTGATGTGCAAAGCTGACACTGTTTATCAGAGCACTTTATCTTTCTGAGCTTTTTAAAGAAGAGTTAAATATGGGAATGCCTCTAATCAAATTTTCCTTCTGCCCGAAAGTAATACCATTCTTTCTTTTAATCTGTAATGGCCCTCAGCAACAGAATGATTTCTTTTTCTTATTTAACAGACAATTAAAACAGCAAAGATGTTTAGCATTTAACACCTTTTACACGACTGTTTCTTTTCAGTGTGTTCAAGTAAAAAAATGAACTAAAAAATAAGAAATATACTATTTCACTCCTACTATCCGTGTGCACCACTGACAGGTCAAATCTGCTCCCTCTCTCCCTCCCTCACTCTCTTCCTCCCTCCCTTACTCTCTCCCTCCCTCACTCTCTTCCTCCCTCCCTTCCTCTCTCCCTCCCTCCCTCCCTCACTCTCTCTCTCTCTCTAGTGTTTGTGCTGCTGAGAGATTGAGATGCACCGGAAAAAGTTTGCGTATAAAGTAATGCATAAACTCTGCTAAACTCTGACTGACAGACTCTGCTAAAAAAAACGAAAGCAGAATCCGGGACATGTTAGGCGATTTAGAAATCTTCGCTGAATGCATTTTAAAGTCCCAAATAGATGACATGTCTGGGAAAAAGAGGATGTATTGTCACCCTAAATAATGAGCTGGATCAATCTATTTAGTAAAAGGCTTTTCTTCTCCACGTGTCCTCGTGCTCTTCTCAAAGCTAAAGTCATAAGAGGTGTCTAGCGCGTCTCTGTGGGTCTGCAGCAGTATTCTCACGCACACAGAACCGGGCCACTGAGGTAAAGTCTTCTGTGTGGGAAGCGCTGGTGTTAATAGCCTCAGCGTGTTAGATTTCTATCGTAATACACCATACCTTAGTGTGAAGAGCATGTTAAATCTTAAAGAGACTTTGCTAGCAAGCAGTGTTATGATCACGTGGGCTTTGCATGCTGGCTCTGGACGCTGCTGGATAGAATAGCTGTAACGGAGTTTAGAGCGAATCGGACTGCTTATATCGGAGATTTTTAACGCAGTCTGATATAGTTTTTTAGACTGATATTGGACCTATTTCCGCTGTCAATATAAGATCGGGACATCCCTAATTTATAGTCCATGAATGTCTTTACAAGCTTCAGCTGTGTGTTTGCAGTCAAGGGGGATCTGGGCTAAGTGTGAGAGTGCAGGGAATGATGGGATTTGTAGTTCATTTCGGTGGAAGAATTGTAGTCCAGGTGCATTCTTTTCAGGAATCTGTTAAGCCTAAATTGTTGGTGACTGTGACAAAATTACTGATTCACTAGTGAACAGTGATTCTTCTGGTCTGAAACAGACCTTAAATATTAACAAAATTATATAAAAATTTTTAAGGCATTATGTGGAATAAAAGTTTTTTGCACAGTGAAACTGGAGACCCTTTACTTTAAGCAAGTTACACATCCAACATAAACTGTTCCTGAATGACTATATCATCCATCAGTAAATCAAAAGACTTACTAAACGACCAAATCCACTTTGGCTTACATAACAGCATGAAAACAAAAGTGTTATTCATATTGAAAATAAATGATACACAGAAAGCGGGCAACATGACAACACTAGAATACTTCCATCCTGTCGTAATGTATTAGGCTGTCAATGCTCGTTTACATAGTTTCATGTGTCTGCGCACAACATGAGCTCAATGACTGTATGTGCAAGCAGTCAGTAATTAACAAACCATAATAAATCTCTTATTCGGCCCATACCTTGATTTGTTGCGTTACTCACTTGCATTGGGTGAATAAAATCATATACATAGATGCCTGATCAGCAGCTATACATAAGCCATCTGCAATAATTGAACAGTCATTATTGCAGTTAGTAATCACTAACAGTATAATGCATCTGCGACATTATTTATATGTATCTATGAAAATCTAAATTTGCAATAGGCTTCAGCAGATGATTTTGTTAAGCTTACATTATTTAATAATGGTGCATCTCAATCAACTCCTTTGTTCAGTAGTGAGGAAGTCGGCCAGTGCACTGAAACACCAAACACATCCCTCCATGTAAAGACCCATAATGCATCATGAAAATCACAGATGCTTACTTTGTTTTCTTAACTGATGTTTTGAAATTCATTCATTCATTCATTCATTCATTTTCTTGTCGGCTTAGTCCCTTTACAAATTCTGGGCCGCTACAGCGGAATGAACCGTCAACTCATCCAGCACATTTCCACGCAGCGGATGCCCTTCCAGCCGCAACCCATCTCTGGGAAACATTCGCACACACTCATACACTACAGACAATTTAGCTACACACAGAAACGCCAACTGACCCAGCCAAGGCTCGAACCTGCGACCCAGTGACCTTCTTGCTGTGAGGTGACAGCAATACCTACTGCGCCTCTGCGTCACCATGTTTTGAAATGTGAAACAAAAATCATGAATCAGAACTAAACTGGCCATAGTGTATGAGTGTATAAATGTGAGAGTGTATGGGTGTTTCTCAGTACTGGGTTGCTACTGGAAGGGCATACGCTGCGTAAAACATATGCTGGAATTGTTGATAGTTTATTCCGCTGTGGAGACCTCTGAAACACAGAGATTAATCCTAAAGAAAATGAATGAATGAATGAATGAATGACTCTTCCCGGAGTTCAAAAAATTCAGGAGTCCACAAAATGTTGCAACATTTGTTTGATTTTACGCAAAATTCAGCGATCAACTAGTCAGCAAATTCCAGGGCCCTTGTCTACTGGCAAGATGGTATTAAAGTCGAAATCTCCACTAATACACCCACTGGGTCGCCATCGAAAAAAACTGAATTACAAACAGCTCATATCCAGCCCCGCTGTTTTCATATACTAAATTGATCACATCAGATTGATTATTTGATTGTTTCAAACTGTTAGAAAATATGGCGTTTTACCAGACTCTACTACTTCTGTTCCAGTATATCATAATCATGCATTCCCCCCTCTATCTCTGACACAGTATTCAATATTTGAAGGCTTATAAGTTATAGTCATCATAAAAGGATTTACATGTTAATAAAACATTTGCCTCATTTTCTCAACTAAAAGAGAAGTTTTCTTTTCCCACAACACAATTCTTTCGACATTTACAGATTAGAAATTAAGTCATGCGATACCCAATTTTGAATCGCTGCCAGATGAAAGAAAAGTGTCCAAAACTTTATGATTTTTGGTGTGACATTTTTTTAAATAATAATTATTTTGGGTTTTCACCCTTAATGGACAGGAAGGTATAGAGCATTGACAGGAAAGCATAGAGAGCAGAGAGAAGGAAGGGATCAGCATAGGTCCACGAGGCGGGAATCAAACTCAGGTCGCTGTGAGCACCAGAGTGTATGTGTCGATGCACTAACCTCTACAAACCTCTCTAAAAATTAAAAATATTGCATCTGCCATTTGCATACAAGACACACTTTGTGTTATATAATAAACTTCCAAGATCTTAATAAACAGCTCACAGTTTGAAATCATTAAACAGCCATATTTTCCATTAGATCTCACTCTGCGGTCAGCTTTGGCAAGCCGGAGTGTTAATGATATAAATCAGTTAATACAGAGTAAACATCGCGGTCGAAAAATAGGCTGTAAAACCTTCTGTTCTGAGTATCACGTTTTTTCATGGAGATAATAAATGTGGAGGATGATTCATTCAGCACGTGGCACTATTTCTGTCTGCACACTTGGGAGTCTGTGGAGAAACTGAGAATAAACAAGCTATTTCAGGCCTTCTCAGACTATTATGCACAATCATTTTGACAAAATCCATATTCCGCTGAGGTGTTTTGTACTTGTGAATGCAGACATACTTTAATCTGCTCTGCTGAGCGTTGTAAGACTTCTGGTCATTGTCAATGAGGTCAACCGCTTTCAAGAGCATTTCCATAGTACTCCTGTAAAGTGCAGTTTGACATTGGACTTGAATCCTTTCAACCAGGTTTATTATGGTTTTGAAAATGTAGTTTTGCTCGTTTTCATTTATTATTTTATTGGTATGTTTGTACTTTTTGTGTAATTGTCCATAGTGTTTATGTTTGAAAGAGTGTGTATAATTGTTTCCCAGTAGTGAGTTGCAGCTGGAAGGGCATATGCTGGAATAGTTGCTGATTCATTCCTCTGCGGCGATCCCTGATAAATGAGGGACTAAGCTGAAGGACAATGGATGAATAATAATAATAATAATAATAATAATAATAATAATAATAACGTATAAACAAACATATTATAATAAAAAGTACAAAATATAAGGCATATGCTAATATTAATAACAATTATAATACTACTACTACTACAAAAAATGAATGAAATAATCAAATTATTTCAACCAGTGTTATTAGTGTTTTGCAATTTTATTTTATAGTGTTTTTATATACTTAATTTGAAGTAGTTTATTAAAAGTGTTAAATCTATAATTATACTGCAGGTGATAATAAAATCAATAATATTTAACATTAGAATTAGATTTTTAATAATTTCAGCCATTTATTATAGTTTAGAAAAATATGTTGTATTAATAAATATTGAGCCTAATATGAATGCATTTTAATCTGTGCAAATAGTAATAACATTAAAGTCAGGCTTATTCACAATAATAATAATAATAATAATAATAATAATAATAATAATAATAATAATAATAATAATAATAATGACAATAATAATAATAATAATAATAATAATAATAATAATAATTGCTGTTTTTTTAATACCATTATTACTTAATATATATCTTAATATATATTTTTCATTTATTTACTTTTTTAACAATGATAACAATAATAGTAGGTAGGGCTGCTTTTTTTGACAGATATTGTGATTTCTTTTTGATTTGCGATAATTTTTTTTTGTTAAAGAACCCCTATTATACATTAAAAAGAGTCATATTTTGGTTTTAAAGGGCACCTATGGTGAAAATCTACTTTTCAAGCTGTTTGGACAGACATGTGTGTTGGTATAGTGTATAGACCGTCATATTGGGGAGAAATAAACACACACAGTCCTTTTTTTTCAATTTAATAACATAAAAATAGTGGACCAATTGGAGCGGTTTTCAGACCGACCGCAACCGCGACGTAGGAGTGTGGTCCCCCACCCACCGAATTGATTGCTTTGCGTAGCATGTCCTGGTAGTCACGTGTATAATCATGTCAACAAGACCAGATGTGTTCAAAGCAGTCGGGAATAAAAGTTTGTTCAGTTCGATAGGATAATCAATTATCATCAAATGTGATGAAGAGTAAGTTTCACATGTTTAAAATGTTTCAAAACAGTGCACGTGTGTAATGAAGTACAGTGATTCACTTCAACTTTACTTTATCAGCACAGCCGCGTGTCAATTATAAAAGAAGAGGCTTCAATCCCGGTTTGTGGACGTTAAATCAGGTTTGTTTTGTACATTAACATAACAGATATCCACACAGCAGTAGCCTGTATCCTGTCACATTTGCGTGCAAAAAAAGTGGAAAGCTAAACGCGCTCTGTCTGTCAGTGTGTGTGTCTGTGTGTGTCGGTCTGTATGTGTGTGCACGCGCGTGAACTTTGTACATTGACATTGTTTGTGGGACTTATCTGTACAACAAATGCTCATTGGTAAAGTTCTTACTGTAGTATTTCTCACAAACGCTACATGAGATCTTCTTCCTAAGTCTGTCAGTCTGTTGTCTGATGCAGCCGAGGGAGAAGATTAAGGCGCGCAGAAAGACACGTAGAAACGGTGGGTGGGGCTGACCATCCTTAAGGGTGCAGTACGACTAAATGGCCCCCTGGTGGAAAATGTTAAAAATAGATCTTGTAAAAGGTATAATGAAAAATCTGATGGGTGTTTTGAGGTGAAACTTTACATACACATTCTGAAGATGCAAAACACTTATATTAAATCTGAAAAAAGGGGTAACCTAGGTGCCCTTTAAGGGTCTCCAACAACAGGCTGATATGCATGCAAGGTCAAAAAACACTTTCATTATCTTATAATATGCATTTATTTTACCTAATTATTCCAGCGACTCCCATATGATCACCCTTTGCGATTGGTCAACAGCCTTCAGCGTGAGACAGAATTAAATGCCCACCACGACTTATAAACAATATTTAAGTAGTCAGAGTGCACACTGTATGTGTGAGCATACCTGCCAACACTGTTTTTCCCAGGAGTGTCCAGTACCTATCTACCGCCACAGTCCCGTTTTGTTATTTGTTTACTGGAAAACTCCCGTAATTTCAACCACCCCCTGGTCCTCAACATTTTGGTACAGACTGTGAAACCCCCGGGTCGCCAACATTGGTATATGATCCGATCACATCGGCCGCCCAAAACACGCTTCGTAGTAGTTACTAACACCACAGTAACCGATTTCTCAACAGTGTTATTCAGTCACGTCACCCCAGAATCTAACCTGAACCTAAAATGGAGGAAGAAACTGATCCGTGAACTGTGAAAGTTACTGTAAAGTTCCTGTCGAGCTCTGACAAAGTCCCACACGTCAATAGTCTTTTCTGATCCTTCCTTTAACAAATGACCAACGAATCCCCCGTTGTAAGAGTGTAGATTACTAAAGCACTCTTCAGAAAAATTAGGGCTATAATGCTGAGGTATTTTTACAAAAATAATCCTCAATCACATACTCTTCAATTTCATCATTGGGTATGGAAAATAACACTAACTTTCCCTCACACTTCCAGTAATATCCAGATGAGCACAACGTCTTCATGACTTGAAACAACCGGGATCTGCTATAGTGTTTGTGGGCAGGGCTGTAGATTTAAATTTTCCCGGCTTTGTGCGTGCAACAATTGGGAGGGGCTTAAGTTTTGTATCGATGTCACGCCGAAACAGCTAGACTCATTATCAAGATGACTGATTTTAAGCTCTATGTATCGAATCTTTTTTAAACAAATCAATAGTTTTAAACACTGTCCACTTTCGAATTTAAGCCTTAGCTGGATATTTTACTTCACGTAGAGCTGTGTTACACACTACATGGCAGGTCATTCTCAAAAACCCATAATAGGGGGTCTTTAGGCTTCAGCTCAATCACACTCCTTTTATAGCCGCCTGTGGTACTTTTTTAGGTGCTGGTTGTTGTATTTCCTCATGCTGGAAAAAAAATCTGTGACAGCTCTTACAATTACCTGTTTTTGTTCGGTGTCTTTGCATTTGAAATTAAAATATTCCCACATAATACTGACGTACTGTTTTTCTTTGATATTAATAAAACTATTAATCCTTTTGAAGCAGCACACGCCATCATCCCACTCGTCTGCACTTTCCTGTTTGATTGTTTTTTTATTGTGGGAATTCCGCATAGTTCTGTTGCACAATTCTGGCCGAACGAAAGTGTGCTCAACCGATTGGCTAGTAATACTGTTGCACAAAGACGACGGTCATGCATTTGCTCTGGGTGGGGGAAATTTAAAAAATATATTCATTTCGCAGCCACTTGCGATAATAAACTTGCTAATCGCAACATTTTAAAAAGCGATTGATTTCAATTAATATCTCTAGTAGTGGTAGATTTCTTCAAAATCTTTTTCAAATTTTCACTTTTTTTCAAATCTTTACAAAACTCTTTTTTGCTACTATAATCCTAAAGATTTACTCGATGATAATATGTTTCTAACCTGGTTTGATCAACTGTAATCCACAGACAAGAGGCTCTTCTGGCTGCCATAAGTGAGAAGGATGCTAACATCGCCTTGCTGGAGCTCTCTTCATCTAAAAAGAAGAAAACACAGGAAGAAGTGGCTCAGCTGCGAAGAGAAAAGGACCGTTTGGTGCAGCAGCTCAAACAGCAGGTACGGCCTGCGTCACCGAGCGGATCTGACTGTCCTCAAGATTACTTTGTTTATCTGAGTTCTGTCAACAATAACAGAAGTTGCAGAAAAACCTAAAAGACTTAGACAAAATACATCTTTGTTTTGACTGCTGCACTTTTATGTCTATAAACAAGGTCTATTGATGTGCTTTTTTTAATTGATCTTTTCTTGACCCCAAATCAACCCATGTTTTCATCCGTTTTTACCCTCCCAATCTTTCCTTACATCTGTGCCTCCTCTTTTCTCCTAGACACAGAACCGCATGAAGCTCATGGCGGATAATTATGATGATGGATACTTGAAAACACCACCTGACCAGACCAATCACAAACCTCCGAAATCACCTGATCAGGTCATAATCCAGTCCTCTGCAAACATCAGCAAAAGGGACAGTTCACCTCGAAAAAAATCCTGTTACATTTACTCATTCTCATAATATGCCCAACTTTTACAAAACATGAGTACTGCTTTGTCCAGAATCTGGACCTGTTTACACCTGGTCACTTTGTGCATTTTCTCTGATCGAATAGCTTTCTGGTTTGGGAAAATGGTTATATTTACATTTGACTACAGAAATGTGTCGATTATATGATTCCAATCTTTAAACGCCACACTATATGCACATTTAACTACGCTATGATTGGTAAAGCATCAGATACACTGCATTTTATTTCATTATATGAAACATAAGCTATACCGTATATATTATTAGGGATACAAATCATTTTGGATTTAGGCTACAGGAAGCTTTGTTCTTCACCTGTGTCCCAGTAAAATATCAGTGCACAGCGCTAATGAAAAGCTAAATGAAGCATCTATCTTTGTCGTACAGACACAGTTGAAGTGAGAATTATTAGTCCCCCTTTGAATTTTATTTTATTTTTTAAATATTTCCTAAATTATGTTTACCAAAGCAAGGACATTTTCACAGTATGTCTAATAATATTTTTTTCTTCTGGAGAAAGGCGTTTTTTTAATTTTTATTTTGGCTAGAATAAAATCAGTTTTTAATTTATTAAAAGCCATTTTAAGGTCAAAATGATTAGCCCCTTTAAACTATATTATTTTCGATATTCTACAGAACAAACCATCAATATACAATAACTTGCCTAATTACCCTAACCTGCCTAGTAAGCCTAATTAAACTACTTACGCCTTTAAATGTCACTTTAAGCTGTATAGAAGTGTCTTGAAAAATATCTAGTCAAATATTATTTACTGTCATCATGGCAAAGGTAAAATAAATCAGTTAATAGAAATTAGTTATTAAAATGATTATGTTTAGAAATGTGTTGAAAAAAAATCTCTCAGAAACAGGGGCCTAATAATTCAGGGGGGTTAATAATTCTGACTTCAACTGTGTGCAAGACACCATTCAGAACTGTAAAGAATTGATATTAATTTGTGTATAACCTACTCTCCCAAAAACTATGCCCCTTTTAAACAAACTAAACACTCTACTTTTCTATTATTTTCCCTCTCCATTCACAGAGATAGGCTAGTACAGTTGTGTGATGCATCTCTGTTGTGAAAGCTGCCATTTGATATTCACTTAACATTCTAATTGTATCTCTTAAAGATTACCCCTAGTGCACTGTTCAGATGTACTACCCTTTTGTTATGTTAGGAATAAAAACATCCACTGAAATAAACTGCAGTAAAAATGCATCAGATGAATATTTTTTTCTAATTTTTTTGCATAAATCTGTTAATCAGCCTCAGTCCTGATCAAAACTACTAAATAGTCTTAAAAATTACAGGTTTTTAAACTCTTTAATTGCCAAATTCACAAATGATGTCACTGATTTGGTGGAAAAAAACCAACACAAAATGATGTATTTTCAATATAAAAAGTAATTGTAGACTGGATTTTTTGACCTTTTATCACAGCCTTGGACATATGAAAGATTAATAACAAATGGCATTGATGCATTGATAGATTTTATATTTTTCTTCATAATTTACTGTTGGTGGCTGTTTTTCCCCATTGACTTCCATTATAACCACATGATGGTGCATAAATACAGTCTTTGTTTTTATTTACTTCATTTAGTTCTGGCTGTATATTTTGATTTTTACAACACATCAAGGTAAGCGTGTAAAGGTCACTCTTACACACTCACAGACACACATACACACACTTTATTTTGCTGTTTTACGCCATATAAACACAGAAAGTAAGCTTTTTTTGCACAGGCCTATAATAGTTCTAACTGATGATCAACAGTAAAAATTACAAATTTTACCCATTCCCAACAGGGAAAACCACCAACAATCAAAAATGCAAGATTATATAGTGTCATGGTTTTGTAATAAAAAAAAGTGGTTATAATGAAAGTCAATGGGGCAAAAACAATGCATCAAAGGCTATGCTGTTTCACACGTCAAAGACTTTCATTCATTAATTTTCTTTTCGGCTTAGTCCCTTTATTAATCTGAAATCACCACAGCGTAATGAACCGTCAGTTTATCCAGTTTTTAAGCAGTGGATGCCCTTCCTTTCTTTACACTACGAACACTTTTGCCTTCCCAATTCACCAGTACCGCATGTCTTTGGACTTGTGGGGGAAACTGGAGCACTCGGAGGAAACCCACAGGAACACAGGGAGAACATGCACATACATAGAAACACCAACTGACCCAGCCATGGCTCGAACCAGCGACCTGGTTGCTGTGAGGCGAACATGCTACCCACTGTGCCACCATGCCTCAAAGACTTTGATAAAAGGTAATAAAAATAAATCCAGTCCACAATTACTTTTTATGTTAAAATACATCATTTTGAGTTTTTTTCCCCACCAAATCAGTTACATCATTTATGAATTTGACAATTACAGAGTTAAAATCCTGGAATTTTATAAGCAATTTAGTAGTTTTTATCAGGACAAAGGATGATTAACAAATGGCCCATAAAAAAAAAAGAAATAAAATTAAACAAATCAAACATCCTAAACCATCATCTATGTGTTGCGTGCTGCATTTATGCTGTTATATTTGAATATGTAATAAAGCCAATAACACTCGATCACATGTTTATTTATTTATTTTTTTACATTTTATGAGAAGAAAAAATTACATTTGTGGTTTCAACAACCAGATGCCCTGAGACAAGTTTTTTTCTAGAATGCATGCCAGGCCACCTCCTGAATTGGTTAGAGTGACATGATTAATATCTTTTTAATGATCAGATAGCTTCCCGATAAGAAAAAACTTGTGACCAGGTGTAAACAGCTACATATTTTAGTGTCTGAAATATGCTGTGACTTTAATATTTAAATTTTTGAATGTCAGTATTTATAGTGCATTTTCCACACAGCGCTAGTTACATTTTTTTTGTTTGTAGGCTTGACATTTATAAGAAATGTCACAATTATTTGTTCATTAGTTTTATACTAATATAGAAGAAAATGTGAACTTTAAAAAAATTTGGATTTTGCTCCTTCTAGTGACAACATGCTTATTGTTATAACGTAACCCTTTTGTTTCTGATTTCTTCAAATTAATTTGTTTTCGCCAGTTCCTGAAAATTGGACTGATTTGAGTGGATATCAAAGCAGATCATCTTTAGACCATTTTGGCAGGAAAATTGTTGATTAGTCAAACCATTGTTAAATAATCTGCAAACAACAAGCTCATTAAATTGCACAAGAGGCTTTGTTTTTTTTGGTGTCAGTGTTGGGTGTGTCTTATAACAATCATTACTTGAGGTTAGTTGCACAGATTTGGCTCAGCGCAACAGAGGTCAGGGTTCTTGCAATAATTTGCCACAAAATCTTTTCTCTTTGGATTTGTAGCTTATAAAATACAACGCCAAATCAGAAAAAGTTGTGACAGTATGGAAAATGCTAATAAAAAAGCAAGTAATGATTTCTAAATGTATTTTGATTTAAATTTCATTGCAGACAATATGAACGCAAAATATTCATTTCATTCGTAAACATACTTCCTTTCCTGTCAGTCAAATCTGCAACACATTCCCAAAAAAAGTTGGCACAGGAGCAATTTAGGTCTAGTATTCATTCACTTTTTTCAGCTTAGTCCCTTTTTTATTAATCTGGGGTCACCACTGCGGAAAGAAACTGGCAACTTTTGCAGCATATGTTTTACACAGCGGATGCCCTTCCAACTGCAATCGATCACTGGGAAACAACCATACACACTCATTCACACACACACACTAAGGACAGTTTTAGCTTACCCAATTCACCTGTTCCGCATGTCTTTAGACTTGTGGGGGAAACCAGAGCACCCGAAGGAAATCTATGCGGATGTAGGGAGAACATGTAAACTCCACACAGAAACGCTAACTGACCCAGCCGAGGCTTGAACCAGTGACCTTTTTGCTGTGAGGGGACAGCACAACCTACGGCAACCACCACGTCTCCCATAATTTAGGTCTATTAATACGGATAAATTGGTTAAATAGTGATGTGATCTGAAACATGTCATGTCAACAGGTGATTGTAATTATGATTTGGTACAAAAGCAGCATCCGAGAAAGGTCTAGTCCTTTAGGAGCAAAGATGGGCAGAGGATCACTAGTTTGCCAACAAACACACAAGAAAATGATTGAAATGTTTATAAACAATGTTCCTCAAAGAAAGACATTTGGATATTTCACCTTCAACAGTGCATAACATAATTAAAAGATTTAAGCAATCTGGAGGAATTTCAGCTCGTAAAGGACAAGGGTGCAAACCGAAGCTGCGTGATCTCTGATCTCTCATGTGGCACTTCATTAAGAATAGTCATTATTCATTTATAAGCGACATCACCAAATAGCTCCGGACTACTTAGGCAAACCTTTGTCAAGTACCACAATATTTAGGTACATTCACAAATGTCCGTTAAAACTGTACTGTGCCAAAAGGAAGCCCTATGTTAACAGTGTCCTGAAGAGCGGTTGACTTATTTGTGCTCTGAGGCATCTAGGATGAACTGTCACACAGTGGAAAAGTGTACTGTGGTCAGAGGAATCAGTATTTTAGGTATTTTAGGGAATAATGGACGTTGTGTGCTTCTGACTAAATAAGAAAATGATTGTCCAGACTGTTGCCAGCAACAAGTCCAAAAGGCCGGGTCTGTCATGATGTGGCCTTTTGTCAGTGGTAACTTGCGCTTCTGTGATGGCGCTATTAATTCTGAAAAGTACATGGAGATTTTGGAACACAACATGCTGCCTTCTTTTCCAGGGACGTTTATGCATATTTCAACAAGAAACCACATTCTGCACACATTACAAAGTCCCAGCTGCAGAGGAAGAGGATGCAGGTACTTGACTGGCTTGCCCGTCCTGACCTGCCTCCAATTAAGAATGTGTGGAGCATTTTAACGTGCAAAAACCCACAACAAAGACCACATACTGTTGCCTAAGTTAAGACTTGTTTGCAGGAAAAAAGGAACAAAATTACATCTGAAACACTTCATCACTTGGTTTCTTCAGTCCCTAAATGTATTTTAAGTGTTGTGAAAAGGAATGGCAGCATTACAAAGAAGTAAATGCTTTACTGTTGAAAAGTGTTGCAAGAACCAAAATTGGAACGTGTTCTTAAAAAAAGAACAATAAAAAATCATGAGAAACACATTAAATAATGTTTGCCATATTGTCTGCAATAAAATACAAGTCATAGTAAATTTAGATATTACTACTTTCTTTTTTTATTTTTGTTTTCCATACTGTCCCAAGTTTTTCTGATTTGGGGTTGTAGCTTTGCTGGTCTTGATAGAGTCAGAGGTCAGTGATAAGTTATGCCATTCTCAGCCTTCTCAACTTTTTGTTGACTACTTGTAAAAAAAAAAAAAAACTTTTTAAAACTTTTCATACAGGGTGTTAGATTAGGGCATAGGGATGAGCCCTTGTAAATGGAAAGTGCTGTCCGACACCCGAAGTGTCTATTTTTACCGCTTTGAAATCAAACTTTTTGAAGGGCCCTTCAAAGTGGCAGTCTTGAGCAATTTGGTTTAGAACGACACCTTAACATGGCAGCCATAATTGTTTTCACTCATTTGGAAGGCTATAATTCCCATTTGGAATTTACATACAAGTACAACCAAATCATCTTCAGCAAATGCAATAAAAAATGGTCAAATTCAAAGGTGCAATATGTAAGATTGACACCCTATGGTTGAAATAGGTACTGTCAAAGTGCCTTTAAGGGAAGTTATTTCACTCGGCGGCCATCTTCAAAACGACTCTCGGGCAGTATGCTCAGGCATTCTGTTTGAATGGGAAAACATCAAATTCTACAAAACTCCTTGCCAAGATTACGAATAACCAGTAAAATTAAACAACAACTGTCTATTTAGGATTATTTCGAAATGTTCATATCACACAAAATGTGCAAAAACTCATGTCTGGTCTGAGCCCCCCCCTTGGAGAATTGTCAATCTATAGCGATCACTGATTGGATCCTGTACTTGAATCAGAGCTTTATTTGCCATATAGCAACCGCTGATTGGCTCCAGTACTAGAAGGCGGGGCTTCATTCCCAATATTGACAGTTACACTTTTCCTTTTTCAAAATTATACAAGTGACATATCTTATGTATTCTATAGTCTTTGGTATTGTACTCCTAATTCAAAATACTTTTTTACCCAGCCTCCCCTCTGATAACTCCACGCAAATGCAGGTTGCCAGATTGACAACACCAACCAGACCAAGCGTGCCTGACTATCAAGCTAACACAGTGTCCTAACTACAATCCATGACACGACCGAAGTATTATTTTCCATGTTAAAAATAATTTTTGTTCTAAACATTAGTCTTTTAGAAACAGCTTTTATTTCTCGCTTCTAAATGGCTAAATTTAAATATTTCTCGTGTTGTTGGCCAAGGACACATACATTAAAAGCCTTCATGACAGAAATGAAATAGACAGTTTTCCACCAAGGCCGCCCTGGGTACTGAAATATAATTGGGTAAACTGGCAGTGGGCTGGTTATAGAGACCAAAACAAAGACAGACATTCCGGCACAGAAAGCACTTTTTCAAAGAAGAATAACTGACTTTAGCAATGTTTTTCAGAAACACAAATATGTTATAAACATTGTTAAATATCTGCAAACATAGTATGGTATGTATATGCTTTAGAGGTGAAAAACGTACATACAGCACCTTTAAGCTGTTTAGTCAAACAATTCTTGAATAACGTCCAAAACTAGATCAATAAAAAGCTCACCAAAGTAGACATGAGCCTGGATCATTACAAAGCCATGGTCACTTACACTAACCACAGCACATCAATTTGGTAACAGAGCCACTTATTGCTGATAAACCATTAACCATACTAGTAGTGACTGTATTCATAATATGATTTTTCAGCCATTAAATCGCCTGTTGTCTGATCATCCCTGCTATGCTTTGCTCCTCATCTGCCTTTGATGTGTTTGGCCCCTTTATTACAGCTTGCAGCTATATTTATGAATGATATTATACATGTATTCACTTATGTAATTTATAGTAAGGTGTGACTTGTTTTCTAGAACAAATTGTAAATGATAACAGTGTGTTCATTTTTGGTGAACTGTTCCTTTAAATTAGTTTACTACAGTCATCAGCTCTTTTTGTTTTGTTCAGTTTCAATTCAATATGGCTGAATAGGAAATAATAGTACCATTGCTGTATTTTGCTTATCTCATATTCATAGGAGCTTAAACTTGACAGCAAGCCGAAGAAAGACAAATTGGAGGTGTGGTCAGTTTCATACTCATTAATAAAACATTAAATAGCGGAAACTGAATTGGAAATGAACGCGCTGTTGTCCGTTTCCATTACAGTCATGTTATCGTAAATAACGTGAAGCTGCTCTCACCTCCAATGCAACTGCCATCATTTCCTTTTTACTGCCTTCATATTGATCATGACTTCTCAACCCTATGGATTTTATTCTTATTCATGACTGTAGAAACTGTCCCTAAGCGCAGATCCAGGATCAACGTTGTAATGCTATTATTTACGTCAAATACATTGAAAGCTGATCTTGCGTTTGCGCTTACAGGTCGCTTCTACTTGGATTTCTTCGCATACTAACCTGATCTTTTTTCCCATGCTGCACTTGGCTAAACCCTTGCCATCTCTTAACCAATAGGATGATGAGGAGGGCATTTGGGCATAGCCTCACTGGCAGCCATTTTGTTTTAGAAGGGTGAGCATTTCTTTGATGGACATGTAAAAAAGCCAATCTCAGCTGCCCTGTTCCTTCCCATGTGCCATCAAATCCTGCCTGTCTCGCTGTGCCTGCTGGAGATCATTGACCATTTCTTAGCAGTGCTTTTTTAATAGCATATGTATTTTTCATATTTCAGATGACAGTTGTTTTGATTGAAGACATACATATATGTGATTTATTTATGATCACACCGCTATGAAATGGTCTAGAAATCTCATTTACCCTGGTTTTGATTTTTCCCTTCCCTTTTTTGAGCCTGTTATGTCTTTGTATGTTTTTGTGGTTAAATGTAATCCCAGATGGTGCATTTAGGCTGTCGATTTTCTACACACACTCTGCCACCCTGCCTTCACACAGAAAAAGCTCTTTTGAAACCTTATGGTTAATATACTTAAAAAGGTTTTTACATTATTTTTGTATAAGGAGCATCTACAAAAATTAAATGTAAATGTAAAGTACATGTAATACAAATGTCTAACGCAAAACATTCAAAAATCATATTTGAAATTAATATTTTACCGATACTCAGTAACCTCTAGCCCATGCTGATTTCTGGAGAACTCCAAACCTGACATACCCAGTCAAGCATCACTCACGCACCGGGCCGAGATCCCCATTATTGCAAACAGAAACAGCCGAAGCTGTTCAGGACTAATTACACAGACTATTTATCCACCTCTCAAACACACACACATGGCTGAGTCTTCTTTAAATGTATGTAAAACGCTGACAACAGAGGCGCGGATCTAAGCTCAGGATTATTAGAAAGGTCAGACAAGCAACGGTCACAATCAGTAGTGATGGTGAAATTAAGCTTTCTGAACCAGTGAAGCGTTCGGCTCAATTGTATCGGAAAAAGGTTAGTTACCCGAAGCTATCTAAATCCGAGCTCGATGAGGATCACTTCTGGATAAAGTTTGGGAAAGCACTGTGTTGCAATAATGTCAAATGTTCACAACTGACCAACTCATTCATGTAGGAATACAACAACAGTAAACAACAACAAATTACTCAATTACTGTAGTTTAGATATGTTACATTACACCACCGATACCTAGTAAAATCCAAGGTATTCAAAAGAATTTACATTTATCGTGTCCCAACTGGACCTTTACCCACCCTCTCGTTCCAAACTCAGGTCTAACCAGCGATTCCTGCATGGGAGGCGAATGCTCTTGGAGGAAGCTATGAGAGTGATGCTTTCAGGCTGCACTCCCCAGCTGGCCTCAGTTATACACTATACTACGATATTCTGTGGTTTTCTTTTAAGATTGTAAAAGATATGCTAATACACTTTAGCATGGTTCAGAAACTTTTTACTATAAATTAGTATTGTATTTTAGTTTAATTACTGGTGTGTGGGATCGGTGAAGTGTTTTGAAACATTAGAAATGTATGTAATTGAAGCCTAATCTCTCGCTATACACTTTACTAAACCATGAGGGTGTTTAAACCTTTGAATCAAAATTTGAAGCAGTCACATGGGTATAAGCGAAAATGAAGCTTCGGACGTCAGTGGTCACGTGATTATGGCAAAACGAATCAAGCTCCGCTACACTGCTTTACTGCGAGATGTATCGTTTTTTTGATACATACTTCAAAGCGTGAACCATGTATCAAAGGTGAACACGTCGTAATGTTCAAAAACAGTATAACAAGACTCAGCCGTGTGTGTGTTTGAGAGATGTATAAAAAGTCTGTGTAATTAGTCCTGAACAGCTTCAGGTGTGTCTTTTTGCACACTATGGGATCTAGGTCAGGTGTGTGAGTGGTGCATGACTGGATATGTAGTTTTTTTGCTGGTAGATTTGTAGTTCTACAGTGATCTGCATGAGCTAGATCGCTGGTAACTGTGACAAATACAATAAAATATAAATGTAATATAAGTAGAATATAAATGTTTATTATTAGAATATAAACATTTATTTTAAAAAATCTGTAAAAAAAAGAAAATGAAGTTTAGTAAAATGCATTTATGAACTATATCAGCTTTCATTCAAAGACTGTTTTTTTTCTTTTTTTTTTTCTTTTTACCTAAGAAATACTTTCATTTGAAAAGGATTCATTAAATTGATCAAATGCAGCAGTAAAATATATTTATAACGTTACAGAATCAGGTTTTGTTTATAAAATAATCTTGAAAACATGTTTTTTTACACAAAACTATTAAGCAGCTAAACTGTTTTCCAAATTGAAAACAATAAAAAATGTGAGCTCTAAATCAGCGTAATAAATCTATTAAAAAGCACAATAATAACATTTCTGACGGATCACATGAAGATGAAAACTGGAATAATGACTGCTAAAACTTAATCAAGCCACTCGTTTTCCTACTTGCCTAAAGTTAAATAGTTGACTTTTACTATTTTTGAATCCATTCAGCTGATCTCTTTTCTTTGATTTTCATATTTAAAGCTTGACTCTTCTCTAGTTACATTGTGTAATAAGACAGATGAAAATTAAAGATGTTGTTTTCTAGGCATGTCTACGATATGGCTAGGAACTATACTCTCATTCTGGCGTAATAATCAGGGAACTTTGCTGCTGTACCACGGCTGCAGCAGGCACAATTCTAACTGGTGTTGCAAGTGTAAGGCATGGTGCAGAGACTATATTTTTCAGATGCTGCATAAAATAATTGTGCCTGCTGCAGCCGTGGTATGGCAACAAATCTTCTTTATCATTACCTAAATGACAGTATCATTCTTAATTTTTCTGTCGGTCTTAGTACATCATGTGTCCACAGAAGAGTCGAGCTTTAAATATGAAAATTATTAATAATCTTTGATCATTTTTGTGTGAGATGCTAATGGTCTAATCTGATACAACGATGTATGCTAAGCTAAAAGTGCTCCCATCAGACACAGAGGGCTCTATTTTGACGGGCCATGCGCAAAATGGAAAGCGCAGGGCACAAACGCATTCAGGGTGTGTCAGAATCTATATGTGCTAATATAAGGACGGGAAAATCCGTTTTGCGTCATGGTGCATGGTCTAAAAGGGTTAAGTTTATTTTCTTAATGAGTAATAGGTGTGTTTTGAGAATAAACCAATCAGAGTCTCATCTCCCATTCCCTTTAAGAGCCAGTTGCATCGCGCCATAAGCGTATTTGCTATTTACATGACGTAAAGTAAGTTCACTTTCGCTTTTGCTCTCTTGGATAGGGAAACCTTTACGCACAGACATCAATTAGCCCATAAATAATTAACTTTGTTAAGCGCAAAGTTTCTGAATTTGAATTTCTAAATTCAGTTCTGGCAAACTAATAAATTAACTATAACAACGAAGTGTGCTCAAAATACTGAGTTATTTACAAATATACCTGCTATGCCCCATACGGTCTAAAACCCTAAAAAATCTAAGCTTGTTTTTAATTAAACAAATATAAATATGGATACAATAAATAATACTGTTAATAATAGTAACATTATACAAAAGCAAATTGAATGAACTGAAAAAGCCTCCCGAGATGCAGGATTCAAGGCAGTGGTTTTTAAATTCATGTAGGCTAGAAAATAATATGTTTTGTAATATTTGAATTCTTTATATATTTATATATATATATATATATATATATATATATATATATATATATATATATATATCCTTAATATTTTAATTCTTTTTCATATGTAAAGATATTTCTACATCTTGTGTGTAAGCAAGGCGCACAACTAACGGACTTTACACCGGGTTTGTTCTGGTCTAAAGAACAGACTATTACAGTTTCTCAAAAAAGCAACGCACCAAAACACTCCTGCTTTTTTAGACCAGAACGCCTATGGGCGCACATATAAGCGCAAATGCATTTGCTATTTAAAAAGCATGGCGCAACACCTCAAAATGACCCTTGCGCCGAGCTGACAGTAGCAAATAACATTTGCGTCAGGCCTTGCGGCTCATTGCGCCGGGTGTATGATAGGGCCCAGAGATTGGCTGAATGGATCCAAAAAAGGTAAAACTCTACTGTAAATTTGTAAATACTGTTAATATGCGAGCAGCTAACGGGGAGTGTTTTTTATGTTCTGGGATGATTTCTGCAGTGTAAGGTCAATAGGAGCTCTAAACCAACTTATTTATGAAAGAAAAAGGACCAACACTAATTGTTACCTCATAAGAATAATTCAATAAAAATGGAAGAACAGGACCTCAAATTTTGTTTTAGATTTACTACATCTTTTTAGTAATGATTATAAAAATGTTTTCCAAACCCTGCAGGCATTATTAAAAATGAAAACTGAGTTGGTCTAAAGATTTCTGCACCAGATTTCTGTCAGGTCCCACTACCATCAAGAAAATGAAGGAATAAATGAAATGAACTAATTACTGTTCATCAGCATTTACCTAAACCAGTGCGGTCTAGAAGCAATAAAATATGAACAAATAAACTAAAATCACATTATAAGACAATGAGAATCACTGAAGTCACATCCAGACATGATTGTAATAATGATTGTTGCCCTTTCATTAAAACAAACAACAAAAAAGTTTAACAAGACAGTAAAGCAAAATCTAGTATTCAACAATTTGCCAGATTTCGTGATTCATGTGTGTTTTTCATTTGTTTACACATTTGTTTGCATTATGGATTATTGAGCTCTCCTCAGACAACTTCTTACTTTAAATAAATAGCTAAGCTAAAAAAAAAATACTTTTTACTTAATAATACTTAAAAATAAAAAAGCTAATTTTTTTATACAGAAATTACAGCAATGAATTATTCTCCTTTAAATTTTTTAATCATTTTTTTTACCTGATTCCCAAGTGCTGTTTAACAGAGAAGTTTTTTTTTCAGACTACTTAAACAATTTTAATAAAAGTTTTCTAATAACAAATTTTTTTTGTCTTTATCATAATGATTGTTGATAATATTTTACAATTCAGCTTAAAATGCTATCCCAGCAGGCACAGGACGTCATCATGACGTCAGATTGACATTATACCC